GGCGTGTGGGCAGCCGAGTTAGGATTGGCGGAGGAGGACTATAAAGGAGGAGAGAGACGGCATGCACCGGGAACATCTATGGGGAACATCTAGCTGAAGGAACACCTGTGCAGCCCCCGAGAAGAGCCGGCCGGCGGTGTGCCGCTCCCCTGCGGAAGTGGGGAATGTGGCCAGGGGGAACTGCCCTTCCACGGAGGTGGAAGGGATAGTAGCCAACCCGGGAAGAACCAGCAGCAAACCCGGGGAGGGCCGAGCAGACGAAAGAACAGCGCAGGGTCCTGTGTCGTTCCTCCACGAAGAGGGGGAGCGACATAATGGTGCCGTGACTCGGATATGAAGCCTAGGCAGGGCTTAGTGTCGTTCCTCCATGAAGACGGGGAGCGACATAATGGTGCCGTGACTCGGATAGGAAACTTAGGACGGATATGAAACTTAGGAGGGAAGAAACGGGAAGAACTGGGAAAATACCGGAGAGAGAGACTAGCAAACAGCCTAGGGAAAAGCCGGACGAAAAGGGTGCCGGAAGAAGCTATTGAAAGCCTAGGCATAGACTCAGATACGGACTATGGGGGGAAGCTGGGAGAAATCTCTAAGGTCGAAAGCGAAAGTGAAAGCTAGAACAAACAGACTCGGATGCGGACTGTGGGGAGAGGCCAGGAGAAATGAGGGAGGAATATTGTTGGAGGAAAGTTTGGGGAAACATACCGGGTAGAGAAAAATGTTAGGGAAATTGAAGCCGCGGGGGGCAGGCCAAGGCGGACACGAAAGCCACTTTGGGATTCTCAAGTTAACCCGGGAATAGGGGGCGAAAAGTTGAAACCAGAAGCTGAAACGTGAGCCTGGTTGGGATCCGTCTGATTAGCCCGGGGAGCAAAGGACGGGAAGCCAAACCGTGGGGCGGAGACGTACGCTGGGTTGAATTCGCCAGGCTAGCCCGGGGAACTTAGATTGAATGCTAGTGGCGGACACGTAAGCTACGCTGTGTTACTCGCGGAAGCCGCCGCGTGCAGAGAGAGCACGGGGCGTGAATAGATAGGGAACGCTGGCGCGAGGCCGTGGTGCGGGCGCGAAGTGCGTGGAGACCGCGGAGCGTGCGCGCAGAGCCGGGAACCCGCCGGCGGGGCGAGGTGCCGGGAAGCCGCGCGGAGCCGTGAAGCTGCCGGCAGGGCAAGGCGCCGGGAAGCTGCGGGGATAAGAGAAACAGAAGTTTAGAAGTAAGATGAGAAAAATAGGAATGCTGGAAGATAGAAGTAAAATGGGAGAAATAGGAATGCCCGGAGATAGAGAAATAGAGAAATAGAAAGGCCTCCCCTCAACATGGCAATTAGAAGGCTTGGATTCGGTCTGCCCGATTAGTGAGGCGATGAGCACCTGGGCGGCTAGCAGCTTATGCGCCGCAGGTCACCGAAGACAGGCACGAATTAACATCAGTAAGGCTTCCCCACAATACAACCATTAGGAGGCTTGGATTCGGTCTGCCTAATTAAGGCGGTAAGCCCCAGCAAGCAGCTCGACCAGAGTATGAGCTGCAGGTCACCGAAGATAGGCACAAACCAACACTAATAAGTCTCCCCCACAATACGGCAATGAGAAGGCTTGGATTCGGTTTGCCTGATAGGTTTTGTAAACACCTGCAGGCAGTTCTAGCAGAGCAGAGTATGCGCTGCAGGGCACCGAACACAGGCACGCATCAGCGCCTAAAAACCTCCTCACAACATGGCGAAGAGAGGACCCGGATTCGGTTTGCCTGATGGATAGGACTTGTAAGAGCCTGTGGCAACTCTAGCAAGTAGAGCAGAGTGTGTGCCGCGGGACACCGAAGACAGGCGCGTATCAACGCCAAAAATAAAAAGAAAGGGGGATCTGTGGGGAGCAATCCGGACTAGACTAAGTTACTCGAATTAAGACTTATTCTATGCATCTGCTCTCCCACAATATGGCGCTGGGAGAGAAGTAAACAGCTTCCGCACAGCTGTCTCCAGTTCAACCAATAAACTGTAGGACTTGCTCCTGATTGGAGAGCAGCGTACTCGGCGTGTGGGCAGCCGAGTTAGGATTGGCGGAGGAGGACTATAAAGGAGGAGAGAGACGGCATGCACCAGGAACATCTAAGGGGAACATCTAGCTGAAGGAACACCTGTGCAGCCCCCGAGAAGAGCCGGCCGGCGGTGTGCCGCTCCCCTGCGGAAGTGGGGAATGTGGCCAGGGGGAACTGCCCTTCCACGGAGGTGGAAGGGATAGTAGCCAACCCGGGAAGAACCAGCAGCAAACCCGGGGAGGGCCGAGCAGACGAAAGAACAGCGCAGGGTCCTGTGTCGTTCCTCCACGAAGAGGGGGAGCGACATAATGGTGCCGTGACTCGGATATGAAGCCTAGGCAGGGCTTAGTGTCGTTCCTCCATGAAGACGGGGAGCGACAAGGGTCTTTCTTATGCTGTCACTCCTAAGACTTAGAAAAACTTAGTCTAGATGTCGGTAGCATAAATTCTCTCTGGAGATGCAAAATAATTTCACTAATTCTTGCCCAAAACTTGCCTTCCCCAAGTGACTTTCCTGGGCATGAATCCAATAGGGTAAGTTCCTTTCATGTATTTCTAGTACTTGCCTGTGTTGCAGTTGTGGGAGGCTATTTAAGATAGAACAGACCAGTACCACCTGCTTTTGTAACAGTTATTGCAAAGGAAGGACAGCTTTCATTGAAAGGATTGGTTGTTGTCTTTTCTGATGGATCAGATGCCGCAGCAACTAGGGAAAGATGGCATTTCACTGTTTGCTTAGCACACGTGGAAACAAATCCAGACCAAGGGGATGGGGGTGACTGCACAAATCTCTTAATTCTGTAACTACTTCCTTGGACATTTCTGCCTCTGCAGATGTGCCCGTGGAGTTGTTGCTGTCATTGTCATCGCCGTCATGTTTAATTTTAAACACGAGGGGTGCTTTGCTTGAAAATTGAGCAACACAGCAACAGTAGCTTAGAGGTGATGCCACTGAACACTTTGTGTTTGTAATCCATCCCGCCCTTCTTCTCTGTTGGACAGTTGAGGGCAGAACTGTCGGATGGGTTTACTACACCACCACAGTCACTTGACCGTGTAGACAGCAGCTTTGTTACCTTGCACCAGCAGTGGTGTGGCTCCTCTTCAGCAAGTGGTGTCCATTGAGCACACTCTTAAGAAGGTGGCAGCCTGGTGGGTCCCCTGGGGGTCCACTGTGCTGTGCAGGGATGGCCCTGCCAAAACTGGGAACCTCCAAGATTTTCAGGGTACCGGTCAGTGATGAGTTCAGCTCATCTAAATGAAAGTAAAACAATACTGAAGTAAAGCTTTGCAGCCTTCCACGGTGAAAGCGGTGGGGTGGGGGTCAGTATTGCAGGTTCATAAGTGGATTGACATGTGTAAGGATATGACCTCACTAGGGTCATTGCTAGTTCAAGTACATCTTTGGTTCTCTGATACCAAGTGGGGCCTCTGTGAGATTTGGGTGTGTAGTGGAGCTCCTGGGGGTCTCAGCCTGGAGGCAGAAGTAGCCACAGAATTTTGAGTCTCAAAGTAGATGGACTTCACAAGTTTTCCCCAACATTGATCCCTTACTCCAGACCCAGCATTCTGTTTGCCACCAGGAGGACAGAGTGACTAAGATAGGGTCCTTCCCACCTAGGAACCCCTAGGCTTAAAGTGGAAAGGCGGGCAGGTGAGTGAGAGAATTATAATAACATACAAGAGGACCTGCAAAAAGTTTGAGAAATTTTCATATTATGAAAAAACTGTACATGGATTTCAAAACTTTTTTTGCACCCAAATAAACTTGTCTTTTAACTCCATTTTCCATGAACTGTTGAAGGCGCCTCCCTGCTCTGTAAGGGATCACAGAGGGAAAAGTGGTCAGTCTCTCTGTTTGGAAGCCTCGCGAGACGTTTCACAGAGGAGGTAGAGGCTTGAATGAGGTCTCTGGGGGACGAGAGGACCAGATGAGGCTTGGGGCTGCGAAGTCACCTGGCACACGCGGAGATGGGGAGCAGCTGTCCCGTGGCGTGAGTGTCGGATGCGAGCGAGGGTGTTCTGCAGAACGGGGCGTCGGAAGTGCTGGCCCTCGCTGCCCGGTTTGCACTTCGTTCTCTGCAGTCGCTGAGGAGCCCCTGCCCATGTTGAAGCCAGGACAGTTGCCCTCCGGCAGCCCAATGGAGGATGGATCCCAGGAGGAGGCTGGTGTACGGAAACCAGCCTGCTGGTCCAGACGCAAACGGTTGCTGGAATGTGGAGGGGAGGGTGTGGCATAGCTCCTGAGCCAGAGGAGCAGCAAGACGAGGGGAGATCATCAGGATCTGTCTGATTGTCAGTGCCACGGCCTCCGTTTCGCATGTGTCCAGGAGTAGCTCTAATCAAGGCTAACCAGCGTATTATCTAGGCCTTTTTAAGTAAGGGACCAAATCCACACATCCCACCATCTTGTTTGTCAAGTGCTTGGGAAAGTCATCAGCCGCGTGGTAAGAACTTCCTTCTACATAGATGTGCGTCCAGTCCGTGCAGTCGTATTCATGTGAGAGTTCAATAAGACAAGATACACTGTGGTCTTCCTCCTGGCGAGAGGCACCATGGGAGAGACACTTAACAGCGGGCCGGTCATCCGTTCCCGGTGTTAGCTCTGACGCTGGCAGCCTTGGGCCGCTGAGCCTTGTTTTTCTGATCTGTGAACACTAGGCTAAATCATACTGCCTCATGGGTTTGCTGTGAGCATTTAGCAGGGTCGAGGCCCGTGTAAGCGGCAGAAACAGCTCCCGAATGCTGCTCCCAGCCTTGTGTTCCACGTTATCATCTCCTGGATGTTTGAAGATGGGAACTGCCTCGTTCTCCCCTGGGCTGGGTGTCACTGGGTAGGGACCTCGGAGGCTAGTCTAAAAGTGTACCCGCGTGGTTGCCCCAACACTTAGATTCCCCCAGGAGATGTCGCTTGATTTCCTGAGAAAAGACGTTGTATTTTTTCTCTCTGCTTTTGATACAGGATGTCAGCTGCAATGAGATTACAGCTTTGCCCCAGCAAATAGGTCAATTGAAGTCTCTACGAGAACTGAATGTCAGAAGAAATTACCTTAAAGTTTTGCCACCAGGTAAAAAGGGGCACATGCAGAAGGAAACACGTGGGGACTTTGTTTTTGTTTTTGCGTTACGCTTCTGAAGAGGGTGGGTCTCGTCACGTGGGCACGCGCCTATTACTGTGAATTAGAATGTCACATGCAGATAACAGGACAGCGATGTTCTGGGGATAATTTTAGTCAAGGGCCACAGCAGCAAAATCGCTCCCTCCCTCCCTTCTCTGATGTGGGTGAGTGGATCGGTTTGCTAGGTCGAATATACGAGGACCACAGGCTGGTGGCTTCAATCACAAATCTATTTTCTCAGCATATTGGAGGCTCAAGGTGGAGATCCAGGCGTTGGCCAGGGGGTTTCTCCTTGGCGTGTGGATACCCGTCTTCTCCCTGTGTTCTCCTGTGGTCTTCCCCCTGTGTGTGCTTGTGTCTTTGTATCTTCTTAGAAAGACACCAGTGGGTCAGGGCCCACCCTGATGACCTCGTTTTAAGTTCACTATCCCATTCAAGACCTGGTCTCCAAGTACAGTAACATCCTGCAGTATTGGGGTTTAAGACTGCTGCAGAAGAGTGACAGGGAACACAGCCAGTCACACCAAGGGCAGCTATGGCCGTGTGATATAACAGCACAGGGGCCTGCTTGGCCCTGCAGAGCCCAGCTGTCAGGATTTCCATCCTTGACTGGGAGCCCCCAGCATCTAGGATCTGTCCTTGAGGTGGGGGTCCTGCTGCTGCTGGAGTGATCTTTGCATTGAAGTCACTGGTAGTGTCACTGAATGTTGCCCATGATGGCTTCGGGGGCTCAGCATTGAGCCTCGGCTCCCCAGCACCCAGCACCAAGGCAGAGTCCCAGACTGTCCTGCCCTGACAGCCGAAGGCTTCTCCCGTGTGTCCTGTGATGTGCAGTGTGGGAGATCCAGTGGAAAGGGGGAATTCCTCAGCAAATGTTTACCATTACGGCTTGAGGGCAAGCCTCGTAGGTGGTAGCAGCTCTGGCGTTCATCTTGGGGTTTGGACCTGGGTCAGGAATGAGTCAATGGACAGCAGCTCACTGCATGGTTTCTCTGGAACACACTCTGGCTTATAAAGATCTAAAACGTGGATTTCCTCTGGTTTTGTTTGGGGATTCTAGACATACCTGATCTCAAGCATATATTTCTAAAAACATAGAGCAAAAGCCTAGGTTTGAAACCATCGACATTTGGTGCAGCTGACTTCCACCACGCTCCAGTTCCTGCATCTTGACCTGTGGCTGGAAATGCTTCCCCAATTCCAGGCAAGAAAACAGAGCTCGAGAAAGGGAGAACTTTGTGAAATGAGACATGCTTCAGCCAATGGAGGGTCAAAATGCCTGCCTGTCATCCTGCCCCTTTCTCATGGTGACTGGCATGTTAAAAAGTAGAAGTGGAGGCAGTCTCCATGTAGATGTATTACATGAGATGACTCAGCATAAGAATATTATTGATTTTTCATTTTTTCACTCCAAAAGCCCATTTTGTAGAATATATGAAACTCTTGTTCTTGGTTTAAGCAAGTACAGAGGGAAAATTCTCAGTAACAGCAAATTTATACACAGGTCCTCTTTCACACATTAAAGGACACTTTAAATTTAAGCTTCCATGTTGATCCTTGTGAACCTATCACAGGTAATAAACTCTGATTTTCAAAGGGGGAAAAATCGATCATTCTACAGCTGCCTGTAAGCATAGAGAAATGTATGGAAAGAAAGATACATCTGCAAAACCTAGGTTTTTGTTTCTCTTGCTCCCCCTTACTCATTTGCCTTAAAACCATTCCTTTCCCTAAAAAGATCAGTTACAAATCACTATACTTTCCCTAATCATGTTTTCTCAGTTCTGATGTTTTAAAATACACTCAAGGCTAAAACTTCAGTTTACTGGGAAATATTCTTCTTCTTCTTTTTTTTTTTTAATAATTTCCTGAATATCAAGTGTCACTTTGCTTCACTCTAGAGAGCTCCATTGACAAAGGAGCATTGATAAGACTTTCAGGAAGCGAATTTAAAGACTTTCCATATTTACTTACATGCTTTTCCTCTCTGAGTACCCTGCCTCATGTGCTTTCAATTTGAGGAGGAAAAGCAATTTTGTGGCCTAATTACCCAGATCAGTGTGGCGGTGGGGTCCTACAAGGTCTGCAGTGAGGAGAGCTGTTTTGTCCTTTCTAGGACCAGAAGGAGCAGAGAATTAAAATAGCTGTTCCTTGTCCCTCTTTGCAATGGTGAGGGGGAAGTGGGGCTTGCTTGCTTGTTTGTTTGTTTGTTTTTACTCCCTTTTTCTGCTTCAATTCTTTGACATTTTCTGTGCTGGCATTGCAGGGTTATCATTTTCTCCCCTGCTTTCTTGTTGTGAAACTGTCTGGTTCTTATTTTCCTACACTGCGATGATAATTGTGTCCCAGACTGGTACTAAAAGGAAGGAAAATAGTCATTAGCAAACCGTTCCTTATTTTATTTACCTCTGAGTTACCTCCTGCTCTGCTTCCATGAACTCAGCCCTCGGGTCTTCAAAGTCTTTACTTTAGGTGACAAAGAATTTGCTAAAGATCCAGAGTCCAATTCAGTTTTACCACAGATTGGCCAACCTAATCTGAGTGAGGTTTGCCATCTTGGAGCCAGGTTAGCCTTGGCAGGGGTTCCTCTTGGAGTGTTACCCCTAACTCAGACACACACTACGAAGGGAGAAAGGATCTGACCTTCCTTTGATTTCATGATTCCAGAACCTGCAGTCCCTCTCTTCCATCTCCATGGCTAGTGTGATCCCAGCCAAATCTTCAGCCTGCTGGCTGAGAGGAGAGCTGGATTTGAGCAGTGGTCTACTCCGGGCAATTTTTAAAATGCTGATTCCTTCGCCAAAATACCAGTTCCTTGGCTTCAGGCCCAGAAGTCTGTGTTTTTGTTTTTTTGTTTGTTTTAAAAACCGCACTTCCCTAAGTTTCTCCTGCATAGCCCACCCGCCATGGACCTGAGTTTGGAACCTGTGGAATTAGGAGCTCTTCTGCCTCCTTCTGGAATTTCAGTCCCATTACCCCATCTGTGGGACGCGTCGTTTGCATAGGTATGAGAGCAGGAAAGTCCCTTGGGCTCCCAGAGCTGGTGAGTTCTGAGAACCCGGAGAGCCTTTGTTGGTGGAGTTGGAAGTCCTTGGAGCTGAACTTGACAGCCCTCGGGCAGTGGAGGGGAGAGGGTAGACAGTGCGGGTCCCTGCCCCTGTCACTGGGTCACTGCCTGCAGCTCCTCTTCCTGCTGTAGGCTTTGCTCTGTTTCCACTTGGGAACCCCTGGTGTATTTCAGAAACCACCTTTCAGGCCTTCACTTGTCTCGTAACAAGAGTGCCGGGAAGCTACCCTCTATCGCCTTTCCCACAGTGGCCCGGGTGGCTTGCCGGTGTCACCCCAGATTGTGGCATGGCTCAGCCTCCCTTTGCACTGTGGAATGTATTTGACTTCATCTGTAGCAGCTGCCCATGTCGGTTTGAATGCTTGAAATTACTGAGTGTTTACTGTGCCACTGGGTGGGGATTTTAAGCTAAATATAACGTCTGTCTTGTTAGCAGAGCTGCAAAAGACGTTTTAAAACCAGTAGAAGAAAGCCTCATCAAATCGGAATGACAGCACCCATTGGAAAATTCTATTAGAATTTTCTATTAGATAGCATCTATTTTTTAAATGCAGTTGGAAAAACATTGTGAGCCTGGGTGCTATAACTAGTTCTGGAATTCCACCAGCCCACATACACTGAATGGATAAGACTATTCTGTAATTAGCATACCGTCCATATGTTTGCTAGTGCTACTTGGAAACAGTTTGAAGTTAAAGCATAAACATGCCATGTAACATAGCCTGTGTGAATCTTTTGCTGGGGTTAAAAAAAAGAGTTTTAAACAATAGATTCTGTAAATGTCAGATATTCCCAACTTTTATCAGAGCTGAGAACAGTTTAAAATTATTGGGCTCCCAATGAAAGATTTTATTTCCTTTGGTAAAATACTCTACACACACTGTATGTTCTTCATGTATAACTCACTTTTGCCTGTGCTAAATGATGTTTTTTCCTGGTCAACGGAAATTATTTTTTGAATATTTAGTCATTTCATCTTATTGCTCTCTAAGGTTTCTCTCTTTTCTAAAATTTCTTCTAGAACTAGTAGATCTTCCCTTGGTCAAGTTCGACTTTTCCTGCAACAAAGTGCTGGTGATTCCGATTTGCTTTCGGGAGATGAAGCAGCTGCAGGTGTTGCTGCTGGAGAACAATCCTTTGCAGTCGCCTCCTGCGCAGGTGAGGGCCCCTGGCGCCAGGCCCCGGGGAGGCGCCCGAGCAGCGCAATGAGTTAGGGCCGTGTGCGCTACAGTGAGCAAGAGCAGTCACTGTCGCTGAGAAGGTGAAACCTAGGGCGGATCTGGCCACACCAAGCTGCCTTCTGCTGCGGCAAATCCCTTTACCCACGTGTGGCTCCCTCCTCTGATGGCCCCAACCCTGGAATTCGGTGTGTGCTTGTGGATCACTGGTGCACACGTTGGAAACTTTTCATGGAGCATGTAGCTCACAAAGGTAGCAATAATTCCTTACCCGGAAAATGGGATTTAAACTTCTTAAAATACGACTACCTGCTCAAATATTAACCTGCATGAGAATGAGATAAAGCTCATATGCTTAGCTTTGGAAATACTTAAAGTTTCTGGCCGGCGCCGTGGCTCACTAGGCTAATCCTCCGCCTAGCGGCGCCGGCACACCGGGTTCTAGTCCCGGTCGGGGCGCCGGATTCTGTCCCGGTTGCCCCTCTTCCAGGCCAGCCCTCTGCTGTGGCCAGGGAGTGCAGTGGAGGATGGCCCAGGTGCTTGGGCCCTGCACCTCATGGGAGACCAGGAAAAGCACCTGGCTCCTGGCTCCTGCCATCGGATCAGCGCGGTGCGCCGGCCGCAGCGCGCCAGCCGCGGCGGCCATTGGAGGGTGAACCAACGGCAAAGGAAGACCTTTCTCTCTCTGTCTCTCTCTCTCACTGTCCACTCTGCCTGTCATAAAAAAAAAAAAAAAAAAAAAAAAAAAAAATACTTAAAGTTTCTTTTCTTTTTCAGTAATTTCAGAACTTTGTAAACCTTCTGTAATTAGAGTGTTACAGTGCAGTTAGCTCTATGACATTTATACTTTTTTATTTCACACTCAAAACACATTTCTGTTAGCATTTTGTTGTTTGACTCAAGAAAAAAATTTGAAATAGATTATGCATGATTTTCTTTTCAAAGTAGGATTTGGAGGAAATATTTCCCGAAGTCCTTAGAAGTTTTGGAGATGTCAAATTTAGTGCGTTGTTCGGATATCACTTAAAATGAAGTGGTGAAAAAGAAGATACAGAGAGCCATGTAACAGTGTTTACATACTGTTTTCTCATTGAAGAATAGCTGTGCATTATTAATGTCTCCATAGATTTGCACAAAGGGCAAAGTGCACATATTTAAGTACTTGAGCATACAAGCGTGCCAGATGAAGACAGCTGACTCCCTTTATCTCCACACCATGGAGAGGCCCCATTTACACCAGCATGTGGAAGACAGGTGAGTCCCTGCCTTCACTTTAACATAGCCCCTGTTTAGGATTTCCTTAGGCCCAGGCTTTCCAAGTAACTCACTGCAAAAGTCAGCTTACTTCACACAGCCAATTTAAGCTTACAGCTCAGAGTTTGAGGAATTATTGGATTAAGAAAGAGAAAATTGAGGCTGTTGAAAATTTTTGGCATCTCTCAAATCTCACGCAACCTTTCTGAATCAGTCATCAATCCTTTCATATGTGGATATACTTACAACTAAGATCTGTAAATATGGACCATTTTTACTTCATTAAAATAACTTTATTAAGGTCAGATATATCTTTTTAACAATTATTTCTAATTTTTTACCTGCCCCTGGGACATTGTGAAGGCTTTACTGTTGAATTGTCTTTTAAAAATGCAGTGTGCATGGGTTTTGTTTGCCACTTCCTGTTTAGAATGGAAGTGTTAGAACCTTCTCACATGTCCTTGGACTTTTTCTGGCATAAATCAGGCCTTGAACGCTCAGAGAACAAAATTCCCACACTGAACACCCTTATAAAACTGCAGGTTTTGTTTTTTATTTTTGAGAAGTCTTCACTGCAGAAAGTTTTCCTTCCCGTTCTGCTAACCAAGGTGACTTAAAATTAGTTTTTTATGATGCTTAAACTGTGGATTCATTATTTTATCTTTGTAAAGACACTATCAAATTTATTTAGTCACCTGATAGACGTTTCCAGACTTAGGGAAAGTAATCATATTTTTAAAAGTATTTATTTATTTATGTGTTTATTTCAAAGAATTACAGAGAGAGGGAGAGAGACACAGAAAGAGAGAGAGAGAGAGAGAGAGCTTCCATCCACTGGTCCACTCCCCAAATGGCCACAACATCCGGGGTTGGGCCAGACCAAAGCTGTACGACAGGAGCTTCATCTGGTTCTCCCACATGGATAGTGGGGGCCCAAACACTTGGGTCATCTTCCGCTGCTTTTCCTAGGCGCATTAGCAGGGAGCTGGATCAGAAGTGGGGCAGCCAGGGCTTGAACTGGTGCCCATATGTGATGCTGGCATCACAAACAATGGCTTAACCCACTGCTCCACAGCACCAACCCCAAAGTAATCATATTTTATAACTAACAGGTAAAAACAGTTATGTAGTTTATTGCTGTTTTATATAACAAATAAGACTATTGGCAACTATTTCAAAGAACCAACCTGACATCTAAGACAGACCACATAGTGAGAGGGTAAATGCATGAACTTTGATTATAAAATCAATCATATTCTGTATTTAGACAGAACGAGGACCCAATTTTCATTAGCTGCATGTCTTAATATTCTTTATTCCTGCACTGATTTGTTCCCTTGTAATAACAGTAAAAGTATAGCAAAGTCATTTTGGACCTTGAATGGATGTGTCTTGGTATAAAGTTTGTGATTTTATTTTTTCCTAAATGAATTCAATATTGATGACATCTATCCCAGCAAGAAAGATTCTGACTCGGGAGTTGGAAGTGATAATGGAGATAAGCGATTATCTGCCACTGAGGTAAAGTTTGGGTTCAGATTTCTCCCCTCTGTATTCCTACGTATATTTTAGGCCTTCAAAAAGTTTGTGGAAAATGCTTACTATGAGAAAGCCATGTAGGGATTCCCACCATTTTTGTACCAACATAAACCTCTCTCTCTGAATCCATTTTTTTGACCAACTTTTTAAAGTAGCCTCATACCTGCCAGCGTTCATGGACCTTCTTTCTCAGAAAGAGCTTGGATGCATCTATAGAATATGTGATGATGTTTGTGAAGCCACTTAAAAGTTTTACATAAAGGTCAGGTGCTGGTGGCTTATTCTGCATGTTTAATATTCTGTAAATGCCTCAAGAGTAGAATCTCTCTGTCTTCCTCTCCCACAGTCATAGGTTATGTAGGATATCCTTGAATGCTCAATAAATCCTAAAATATGACTCTGTGGTGTACGGGTGCCCATGAAGCTCTTCTAAGAATTTGCCTGCTGTTAAGTGACAAGGTGATTTAGGGACCAGGGACTGCTGTGATGTAGATGCGTAAAAGTTAAGGAGGCAAGTGATGGCGTGTTTTTGCAGTTACCCTCCGGAAAATGCATTTATGAGTAGCTGTAGTTTTTATAATGAGATTCTTAGGTTGTGATCTGCTCAGATAGAAGTTTGGTTGTTTGTAAGTTAAGAGGCCTCACACACTCGGGCTTCCTGTAGTGGTTATGAAGTCAGTCTTGGTTACTGGGTCTGTTATTATTCACCATTAAGTGGTGCTGCTTGACCCAGAGAACTAGAAGGATCCGTGTGGTAGGGAATGGAGCCCCCACATAGCCTTCCCTGTGTAGGAAGGTACTGGGTTTTCAGAGTTACTGGGTTCTGAAGCATCGTAATACTTGGACGTTATAATCAGCCCATCAATTAGGCCACCTAAGGAATTCGCATTTTACTATGTGTGACTCTAGGAGAAAGCTTTTTCCCAGTTCTCCTCAGGACTCTGAGGTTTCATAAGTCGCTAAGGTATTTGAATTTCTTTCCTACTAAATGATGTACTCAGCAGTGTGTTTAAAAATCCTAGGAATCTTTAAAAAGCTTTCTAATGCAGAATATATTAAAGGGAATAAGAGTTAGTAGGCAGAAAAAGAAAGCCAATGTCAATAAAAGAAAACGAGCCACATTACTAGTTTACTGTGGCTGGGGAGAGTTGGACACTAAACAGGCTGCTTCCTAAGTTGGATTTTAATTCATCCCCTTACACTTTATTAGCCTCCTAAGTCCCCTCAATGGACCATTGTTTCAGAAACTACTCACCCTGAGCTTATTTTCTATTAAATTCTATTATATTTTCTATTAAACAGACTCTGCTTTATCCTTTATCTCTCTTCCAAGGCTAATTAAGCTCATTAATAAAACATTACACAAAGAACTCCATTATCCTTTTGTTCTCACTTAGTATAAGTAGGATGCTAATATCATTCTAAGAAGAGCCCAAGGATTCATTTCTTCTTTTAATTAGATGCATGTCTTTGGAATTTTGCTATATTTTTAAGAAGGGCAGTGGGGGAAGAAAAAGCAATTGTAGACAGGATTATATGTGACAGAATAAAATGCACAATCCTTCCTTTGGCCTTTTCTTGCCTCCCATTATAGCCTCATTAGCTAAGAACACCTCCAAGAAATGTATTATTTTAGAATGATAAGGGCTCTGAGTTAGTCTGTATCTCTCTATTGTTTTAGGCAAATATGTTAGCATCCAAGGTCTGTCACTCTCCCTCCCCACTTATGTCTCATTGTGTGATTCAGGAATCATTCCTCCTTTGGCTGTTGCCATTGTCTGATTTAGTTAGCAGTTGCCTCTAACATGTTCACATCAAGGTTAGCAAGCGAGAGTGTGAGGGGCTCTATGAGTATATGTTGACTGAACGGCATGTATGCTTGTCAGCCGCCAATTTCTAGCCAATCTGCTGGTGTCCAAAGGCACATGAGGGCAAACCCTGAGACTTACAAACAGCCCCTAGGACGTAGGAGCCAACCACCATCAGCTGTGTGTCGTGGAGGCTCCTGATCCCCGAGATATGCGAAGTTTTTCACCAAAGAGCAGCACTAAAATGGGGCGGAGGGAGATAAACAAGGCTGTACAAGTCTCCTTTGTGACAGAGTCCCAGGGTTCCTGCATAAACATTGTCAGTCCACGTGGGAGGCGAGACCTCAGAGAGCACTAACTCCAATGACAAACCAAAGCTCTGTTCTGAGAAGTGCACAGGATGCACATCATGTTTATCTACTGCAATTGCTAAGCACTTTTATATGCATATATGTAATATAGTTTCCTTGGCCTAAGATGGAAATAAATCCAAGCTTGATGTTGCACATAGGGTATTCTCCAAAGAAAAGAGATAGAGTTTCCGAGGTTGACTTTGTGGCAAGCCGCATGCATCTTTATAGTGTATTTTTGGTAAATCAACTTTGTTGACAGATCTGAGTATTGCTACTAGGAAAACAGTTGATTAGATTTACTGCTCCAGGACCAGTAGATTAGATTAGCTAATACGATGGTATGTAGATAACAGTTCCTCTGTTATATAAGGTACTGCCCAGTCATTTTTAGTGCCCTGACCCTGGCTGTTAGGTTAGCAAAAGATGGGTATCTAACAAGATTTCCTCTCAAACACACACATGCAGAGAAATGCAGGTGTTAGCTCAGTGAGTGCCCACAAAGGGAGCACACACCCGTGTAATCAGCTCCCAGTTTAAAGACTGACTCAGTGTTGAGTTTTTGAACTTCTGAACACAGGGCCGGAGACTTTTCCTCTCGCTGGTGTCTTTACTCACGATGCTATTTGCACAAATCTCGGGGTATTGTTTTATTACGTGATGTTTTCTTTCTCTCCACGGATGACACTTCTCTCTTGAATGAAACAGTGTACTGTGCTGTGTCGTTTTAGCCTTCTGACGAAGACACTGTGAGCCTCAATGTGCCCATGTCAAATATCATGGAAGAAGACCAGAGCACCAAGGAGGATGCGTGCCGTCATCGCCTCAGCCCAGTGAAAGGTCTGAGGATGAGAAGTGCAGAGAAAGTGCTTGTGTTCTGCTTCAGGTGTTCTGTTTAAAGTAACATGTGTACGGATAGCACAATGGTAACAGTTCATAGCTGTGGGGCATCTCCTCTGGACCAGGTACTATGAAATGGGAGTTAGTGATTAGAAGGCAATTCCTTCTAGGCGTTGATTCAAGACCTGAGCTTCGTGCCTACTGTGATTCCAGCACCTTTGACCCAGGACTCCTGAAGTCTCCCCGAGCTGAGCATGCAAGTTTGCTCATGGGGAATTTGAGGGGCTGGGCCTGGAAGGAGAGCCCATCACTTGCAAGGTGGATTTCACCCCACGACCTCATCTAACTACACGGACGGTGGGAAATGTAGTTGAGATGTGTGTTGAGCAGTCTACTTGAGTTTGACAAGTCTGCTGGCCTCAATCCCCTCACACATGAGTGAGAAGATCCTTTGTAGCTCTAAAATTCAGTGTTCTGTCGTAGTCACTACACACAGTATCTTACATATTTCAGGGTCTTTGTACCTCAATGAGAAGCCCACAGCAGAGTACATGGTGACAATGTTTTGGTCGCTTCTCTTTGCCCAGTGACTTTTAAAGAAAATACTAAAATTTGCTGTTTATTGATTTGTATCAATGACTGTTCTCCCTGTAAACAGTACAGAACTGAACTAACATACAAATCATCTCCCTAATAGTTTGAATGCACTCTTATTAGTGATGGGAGAAGGGTTTAAAGTAACTCAAACATGTTTACTTTTACTTCTTCCTCTAAGGATTTTAAGATTGTCATGTAAGTTTAGCACGTTTGTTTACCTGAGATGGTGACTGGGACCACATATGCTATCCAGAAGTGTAGCTATATATAATTTGTAATTCAGATACAACTGCCACATTCTTCATGCAGATAAACTTGGTAACATTATGCAATGTAGGAGTTAGTGTTTCAGGCGAAATCTTCAAGTAAAAGAAATATGTAATCTGTCACTAGTGATTTCTCTCCCCGCTGCTGTAGACGTAGGTATTCGGCTGACTCAAGAGTGCTGAAAGTGCTGTTTGATCCTTTTTAGTCTCCAGCTCACTCAGAAGTGTTCTCCCTGGGCCGCTGTTGTGGCACAGGGGGCTAAGCCACTGCCTGTGATGGCTGCATCCCATCTAAGTGCCAGGCTGCTCCACTTCTGATCCAGTTCCCTGCTAATGTACCTGGAAAGGTAGCGGAAGATGGCCTAGTGCTTGGGCCCCTGCACCCACCCATGTCGGAGACCCAGATGAAGCTCCTGGCTCCTGGTTTCTTTCTGGTCCAGCCCTGATTGTTGTGGCCATTTGGGGAGTAAACCAGCAGATGGAAAACCTCTCACTCGTTTCTCTTTTTGTACCTCTGTCTTTCAAATAAATTAATTACTTTTAAAAAGAAGGGAGGGAGGGAAGAATGGGAGGGAGAAGGAAGACAAAAAGAAGAACAGGCTGGTTTTTGTCATTCCCTCTCCTATGCCCTCTGCAGCACCTGCAGGACTGCTGTTGGATTTGCACTGCCTGTGCCTTTCTTCTAGTCAACTTTTGTAGTTCTGATTTGGGGTGCCTTTCTGCCCTCCTCCCCACTCTTCCTGAGATTACTAGCTGCTTAAGGAAAAGGAGTCAGATTTGACTTATTAAAAATTATTTTATTTGAAAGGCAGGGAGTCAGAGACAGGCAGATCTCCCATCCACCAATTCACCCCCTGAATGCCTGGGAGCCAGGAACTCGATCCAGGTCTCGCATGTTGGTGGCAGGGATCCAATCACTTGAGTCATCATCCGCTGACTCCCAGGGTGCACGTTAGCAAAGAAGCTGGAAACAACAGTGGAGCTGGGTCTCGAATCCAGGCACTGTCATTTAAGATGCAGGTGTCCCAACTGGGCCCAACACCCACCCCTAACTTTTTAATCGATGAAATGTTTGGCATAAGACGTGCCCTTTAACACCTACTCAATAAACACTTACTGAATTTGAATTTGAAATACTTGGTCACATTTTACTGAGAGCTCTCTTCTATATTTTCTCTGTTGTCTATAAAATTAGGGGATGTTTGTCTCCTCCACAAGGAACCATAGCCATAAAGGAGCCTGGACTTTTTTTTTTTTTTAATTTATTTGACAGATAGAGTTAGACAGTGAGAGAGAGAGAGAGAGACAGAGAGAAAGGTCTTCTTCCATTGGTTCACTCCCCAAATGGCCACTACGGCCGGAGCTACGCCGATCTGAAGCCAGGAGCCAGGTGCTTCTCCTGGTCTCCCATGCGGGTGCAGGGCCCAAGCACTTGGGCCATCCTCCACTGCCTTCCCGGGCCACAGCAGAGAGCTGGACCGGAAGAGGAGCAACTGGGACTAAAACCCAGCGCCCATATGGGATGCCGGCACCACAGGCGGAGGATTAACCAAGTGAGCCACGACGCTGGGGGCCTGGACTTTTTAAGTTCAGTCTGGGGCTTTCAGCTTCTTTCTTTCTTTCTTTCTTTCTTTCTTTCTTTCTTTCTTTCTTTCTTTCTCTCTTTCTCTCTTTCTCTCTTTCTCTCTTTCTCTCTTTCTCTCTTTCTCTCTTTCTCTCTTTCTCTCTTTCTCTCTTTCTCTCTTTCTCTCTTTCTCTCTTTCTCTCTTTCTCTCTTTCTCTCTCTCTCTCTCTCTCTCTCTTTCTCTCTTTCTCTCTTTCTCTCTCTCAATCAGATTTTACATCCATATCTGATATTGGCCAAAATAAAATGACAAAAGATTAGGTTCATTTTTTTTTAAAGATTTATTCATTTACTTGAAAGGCAGAGTTAGAGAGAGAGAGAGAGAGAGAGAGAGGTCTTCCATCTACTGGCTCACTCCCCAAATGGCCACAAAGGCCAGAGCTGCGCTGATCCGAAGCCAGGAGCCAGGAGCTTCTTCCAGGTCTCCCACGTGGGGGCAGAGGCCCAAGGACTTGGGTCATCTTCTACTGCTTTCCCAGGCCGTAACAGAGAGCTGGATTGGAAGAGGAGCAGCCGGGACTAGAACCGGAGCCCATATGAGATGCCAGACCTTCAGGCCAGGGCTTTAACTCCCTGTGCCACAGCACTGGCCCCTTCAGTTTCTTTTACTTTTCTTCCTTCTCTTCCTTTTTAAAAAATTCTCTTCCTCATATCCTACAGGTAGGAGAAAGCTTGGGCAAGAGGGGAGATTGAAATAACTAGCTAACGGATCTGAGGACCATCTGTGTTTGGTTCTTCTTTTCGTGAAATCACATTTTCGTCTTTTTACATTTTCCTAACAGGGGAATTTCATCAGGAATTTGAACCGGAACCTTCTCTCTTGGGTGACAGTGACAACGCAAGAGAAGAAAGGGACCATTTTACTCTCGGAGCAGATGTCCTACACCCCGGCTTTCGGAGCTATGTCAAGGTAAGGTTTCGAGGATCAGCTAATCCTTTCACTCATTTTCTCCTGTTTGACCCCTGTGGTTTTAAGTTCAAGGTTCCCAGTGCATCACCTTCAACCTCCTGCTTGTTGTAACCACCCTACAGCCTTCAGCACATCTTCCCAAAGTTGGTGTGTCTCTTCCGACCATATGGGCCTCCCATTTGTCAGCTGATGGGCGTGATTTTCTTGTATATTCAGAAATCACTCCACTTCACAGGACCCAGTGCATCCTGTGAGTTAGCAGACTTACTAGAGTTACCACGACCACTTAGTAGAAGCTGAGTTGCAACTTTTTTTCTGTGCTTCCAAGGTGAATGTTTTGCACGTTGAGTGTGCCCCTCGGGTGTAGAGAAGAGGGGACCTGGAAGTGAATGTCTTCTTCTGGGAAAGGTCAGTCTGCAGACACCTGTTCCTGACCTGCTGTAGCTGCTTTGTGCTGTGAAAAGGGCAGGTGATGTCCCCAAGTTGTCAGCCAAAGCTTTGTCCTAACAGCGGGAAAGGGAGGAGAGGACGATGAGCTCTCTGAAAGCAGGCGGCGAGCTTCCTCCTCAGCTCGTGAGCAGGTGCATGGTCCGTTTCTGCCAGCCCTTGGTTCTCAGAGGAGGCTTCCTACTTGGGTAACATGCGAGGTGATGATCTCTGAGTTACAACGTCCCCTTCAAGAATGGGGTCTCTAAGTGCTCATCCTTATTTTCTGAGGGCCACATCATGATGGCTGGACTCATGCAGACTAACATGGATGGGAAGGAAATTGGGAGGGAATTTTATACTGTGTGAACCCCTGGGGTACTCAGGGTGTCCTTGTGTCCTCGGACAGGAGTGGCGTGTGTAGGAAACCATCTACAGTGGTGCCCTATGTTACATGGAAGGCTGAGGAAGCTCAAGATCCAGTTCAGTTCTTTGCCCTCTATTTCTAAGCTGTCATTAATCCGTCTCCATTGACACTGCTCCAGTTGCGCCTCAGCATCTCTCACTTGATGACGGTACGAGTGCCCCTAGTCCCAGCATCCCCCCATTCCCACTCCCCCACACATGTGCTCGCCCACACACACACACACACATTCACACACTTGCATACACGCACACACACACTTTCCTAAGTACAGATCTAACCATGCTCTCCAAGGTTTAACGCCTGTCTTCAGCTCTGTGGGATAATCAAGTCACAACAACATAGAAAATTGGAGTTTTCTCTATATTTGATCAAGAGTTCATGAAGTTGAGAACCTAAAATAAAGATGGAAGCCCTGGAGAATGTATTAAAAAGATGCCCAAATTTAGGTTCTCAAGGAAAACAAAGCAATTAGTAAAATGAAGCATATTCTTTCAGAAAGCAGATCTCAATAGATTCATGAATTTCAGGAAGCAAAAGTTTCCATGAAAGGGGCTTTTCTACAGAATGGATCCTTTGGACTGATGGGTGCAAAATAGAGGTGCTGAAGTTCAAGTTGGCAAAGGTTTCCTGAAAGACCCTTCTCTTGGAACGTCAACTGAAGAACCCTAGCAATAAAAGAAACCATAAATCCGCACCAAATGAAGGAAAACGTCATACATTGAAAATCGGGCCCCCACTGGGCGTGGCTGCATCACTTTAACAGTGTGTGAGTGTGTCCTGGAGGGGCAAGAGTGCCAACCTGCTCATAACCTTGACCATCAAGGGTTCTGTGCTTTGCATAATCCTATTTTCTTTACAAAGCAGCATCTTGTACTTTTGTAACTTGCGGGCTGTTTTGATCATTCATGGTGGTTGTACTGAATTGTCACTGAGCATATTGAATTAGCCTATAAGGAGTCTGCTTCAAGGGCGAATACAAGCTTAGGTTCCTGAGAGCTTTTGGTCACAAAATTTTTGTGAGCCAGTCAATGCACGACCGCCTGTGTAAGGACGCCTTATGTGAATATGAAGGTAATTCTTTCACATTGAACTCATGGCCAACCACACTGTAACTCAGTCCCTGCAGGAAGCTTGTCACACGCACGCTGTCTCCATAAGGCTCGTTGTAGCCTTCTTGGGCTTAGGATCACTAGGCAGCACTTCAGCACTATGTTTAGGGCTGTTTCAAATAGAAATGTCTGCAACAGAAAGCACTGGAGTGGAAAGGTGGCACTAATTCACAGCGTTTACACCTGCTCACAGTGTGAGAGCCCAAGCAGGAAGCAGGGAGCCGGTGCATCCAGGACTCAGTTTTCACTGCTCTGCAAAAGGCCTCAAAAGCTGCATGAGCAGTAATTTGACACCTACCAATAAACTTCAGTGAGGAGTCAGATCCTCAAGTACAGAATTCACGAGTAATGAGGATCAACTGTATACTCATCCTGCGTACAGAAGAAACCCAATAAGCCTATTCTGCATACTGGGGAAAAAAAAAACTAGCTGTTTTATACTCTTGGGTACCTTTCATGTTGAAACTGAAAATTAGAAGGAAACACCCATGGCTCCTATAGCTGCAACTCAATAGGAAGAGATAATAGCAAGTTGTCTTGGTCATTCCTGGTGGTCTGTTTTCACCCACTGTCGTTGGGGGTGGATGGGTGGGTACTTTTTATGCTGACTGACTATATGCACTGAAAATATAGTCACTACAGAAAAAGTCGGTGTGTTTCGAGCCAGAGGCCCACAGTTGAAGCCACCTGCTCAGGAAGAGCCTGGTCCTGATGACACGTCTGGAGAGTTGGTACCCACGTGCCAGAAAGCAGTCTGTGTTCCTTCCTCGCCGGGGGGCACAGTCCCCATGGGGGTGGCTTCCATTCTGGCAGGTGGCAGAGTACAGCAGCTCTGTCTCTGTCAGAGGTGAAGGAACAGGGGAGCAGAGGCCCTCAGTGGGACGCTCCTCCCTCCTGCCTCGGTGTCCACTCCCGCTTCGCTGTCTTTGTGAAACAAGGGGAAACCCTGGAGCCAATCCCCAGTGCTGTGCACATGAGAACCATGAGATGCAATTTGAGTCCTTAATACTCTATCGTTTATTGCCAACAACATGGCACACACACATACCCTCACACCCTCTTCCCAGCAGTAGCACACACATCCACCTGTGACTCACCAGCCCAAGGGAAGGATCTGTCTGTGAACACGAGGAGGTGCTAACAGGGTAGTGATAATGAATCCAGTTGGGTGTTACATTTCTGATGTTGACGTAGCATATGCTGTGGGCCGGGGCCAGGTTGTTTCCTTTTTTAATGTTTAAGTTATGATAACTGCGTTAACATAACATTGACCATCTTAGCTATTTTCCCACGTTTATATAGTTGAAAAATTGACACATGCTAGTTGTATGTATTTGTATGGCGTGTGATGTGAGGTTTTGATGTGTGACTACAAGGTGAGACACATGTGTATGCAGAGTGTAGTGATCAGATCGGAGTAACTGTATGTCTGCCACCTCAGACATACCATTTCTTTATGTTGAGAACATTCAAAGTCCTCTTTATTAATTAGCCGACTTTGAGTATAAACCTCAGTATCCATTAAGTACATTCACATTGCTCTGCAGGCAATCTCCAGAATTTTTCGTCTTGCAAAACCAAAACTCTGTACTCATTAGACCGTTCCTAGCCTCCATGCTACTTTTTGTCTTAACGCATTTGACTACCCTAGTGCCTCACCCAAGTGGAGTCACCCCGTGTCTGTCTGCTGTGATTGGCGTGTTTCACCCAGCAGCACGTCCTCCAGGTCCGTCCGTGTATATAGCCTGTGTGAGAGCTGTTGGAGGCTGAGCACTGCGCCACTCTGCACCTGTGTGTGCTGTACTTGATTCTCTACTCATCCGCCAGTGGACACGTGGCTTGCGTCCGCCTTTTGGCTGTCATGGACACCGTCGCCACGGACACGAGCTGGGGCTGGGGCAGGCTTCGATGACCACTGACCAGCCAGTGGTTCTCAGAGGGCCCTGTGTTCTGTCCGCAGGATAGGACAGAAGACTGTGAAGAGCTGTTACGGATAGAAGAGGACATGCACTGGCCGACTGAGGGAATGTGAGTGCTGGGCCCCGTAAGTCACTCTGTAAGCACACAGGTGGCCCTGTGGGAGTAGAATTTTGATCCACTGTCCTTCGGGCATGCTGATAGTCTTACCTGCTGATTTTGCTGAGAAGTTGTAAGTTTTCCCCGTCTCACGCTTATTGTCACGGCATTGGGCAGTGCAGTGCAAGGAAATACCTCTTCGCTGGCTGTCGTGATTTGCGGCTGTGGATAGATGCATGGTTTGGAGAACTGGCTAGAACTAGACTAGAAATGTTTTTACCTTCTTTCCGTTTGCCTGAAGGAGGCAACACCTAGACCCAAAGCCATGTGCAATTCTGGTCCCTTCCTTTATGGGGAGTCTTTAGGTTCAAGATCTGAGAAAAGCATTGACCTCCAATGCCTTGGCCCCACGTCTATTGATTGCCATGGCTAACGTTTATTAAATACCACATGCCAGGCCCTGTTCTAAATACTTCTCAGGTCATAATTCATTTCATCTTTCCAACAATCCTTATGAGACATAAGATTTCTTGTTGTTCACCCATTTCATAGTTGACACAACTGAGGCAGGGGAGGTTGATCATCTTGCCCCTAGCATTTGAACCCAAGAAATCTGGCTCCAGACAGATACCTCTTCTGCTCTATTGTCTATAAAGATGTAACTGACAAGCTTTCGAGAAAGAGGGTAACGAGTGACATCAGATGATGAGCCCTTTCAGGGGAATTGAGTTTGGGCCATGTCTCTCTCTCTCTCTCTCTCTCTCTCTCTCTCTTTTTTTTTTTTTTTACAGGCAGAGTGGACAGTGAGAGAGAGAGAGACAGAGAGAAAGGTCTTTCTTTGCTGTTAGTTCACCCTCCAATGGCCGCTGCAGCTGGCATGCTGTGGCCGGCGCACCACGCTGAACCGATGGCAGGAGCCAGATGCTTCTCCTGTCTCTCATGGGGTGCGGGGCCCAAGCACTTGGGCCATCCTCCACTGCACTCCCAGGCCACAGCAGAGAGCTGGCCTGGAAGAGGGGCAACCGGGACAGAATCTGGCACCCTGACTGGGACTAGAACCCGGTGTGCCAGCGCCGCTAGGTAGAGGATTAGCCTATTGAGCTGTGGTGCCGGCTGCTATGTCTCTTGGGATCCAGGTCCCAGGATTTTGTTTTCTATCACTTGAAATGTAGGTCTGAGATTTCCATCACACGTTGTGGGGTTTTTCCCTTTGGTGAGGATTTACCACATTGTTTAAATGTTTCTCTGCTTACAGAAAGTCATTGGCTTTTGTTCTGTAGTGGAAGGGGTTTACCACGATGAGATTTCTCTGTCTTCAAAAACACTGGGGGTTCCTCTCTGATCTCTATACTACCATGTAATTATTGGATATACTCATATTTCTGCGAAGGCAAGGAGGCCTACCTCGATTATAGAACCATGTGGAAAGAGAGTTTTATATATAAACAACTAAGTAAAACTTTGGAACTTTTTTCTTAAAGATTTTATTTAAGAGACAGAGAGAAAGGTCTTGCATCTACTGGTTGGTTCACTCCCCAAATGACCACAGCAGCCAGAGCTGGGCTGATCCAAAGCCAGGAACCAGAAGCTTCTTCTGGGTCTCCCATGTGGGTACAGGAGCCGAAGCACTTGGGCCATCTTCTACTGCTTTCCCAGGCCATTAGCAGAGAGCCGAACTGGAAGTGGAGCAGTTGGGACTTGAACCCGCGCCCACATGGGATGCCAGTGCAGCAGGTGGAGGCTTAGGCTACCATGCCACAGTGCCAGCCCCAAACTTTGGAACTTTCATTCTCAATGTAGTGTTGTTCTCAACCCTGCCTGTAAAACAGGTCATCTGCAAATAAGATGTTCAGTTGCCGGTGACACTCATTTGAGAGTATCAGGGCTAGCATGTTTTTTGTTTGTCTTTAAATTATATTTATTTATTTATTTTTGAGTCCACAGATGATATTACTGCATAGAGAACCCAAGCCAGGAGCCACTGTCCCACAGTGAGGGCTTTGTACTATAGGGAGGTAATAAGACCCAGCTCTGCTGGTTGAACTGAAGTTGGAAGTTCTGAAATTAGTGCAGGCTCTCCCAGTGGAGCCCCCGAGGAAGTCTCCCGGCAATCAGGGAAGCACGCTGGAGGGCTGCCCACCTCGTGCAGCGCCTGGTGGAGCATGGGAGCTGGGGCCCGTGGGCACTGAGGTCTCGCACGAGCTGCTTCACGGCAAAGCTAGGCTTCCCCCGACACAGGGGGCTTCCCACTGTACGCTGTCGCCCCACCCTGCAGCGCACTGACCCGTCTTCATTGGAATGTTGGATTTCAAGATCATTTTTGAGAATGAGATGGATTTTTATGTTTGCTCTTAAGAACCTGGATGCTGTTCGTGTTTCGGTGACCGTTTTCCTTCTCATGCTTGGTTTCACGTTACAGAGTAAGTTCATCCAAAGATCAAGACATGGATATAGCGATGATTGAGCAGCTGAGAGAAGCAGTAGATTTGCTGCAAGATCCCAATGGGTACGTGTGTCTTTCCCTGGCCCAGGTTTTATGTGTAAATAACGCATACTGATTTATTGAATACGTTACTTCAATTTCTGGTATACTTTTACATGTAATTTGGGCTCATTTTAATTGCCTGTTTTTCCAGATCCAAAAGTCAAAGAATGAAACTTCTAGAGGGATTGAATTTCCTCATAAAATTCATATTAGAAAACAGAAATATGATAGAGGGGCATATTTTATCTTGGTTAAGGTTTAAACTCCTAATTTATAGAAATATAAGGAAATTTCTCCTTAAAAAAAGAAAGAACTGATATATCAAATACTACAAATACTACTATACCTATTTCTAATGGTACCAAATATATGTTAACTAAATAAGTGCTTCTTAGGAATTGAAACATGGAGTGTTTTTATTTATTTGAATTGGCATATATATATGTATGTGTGTATATATATATATATATATATATATACTCTCTCTCTACTTAGCTATGGATAATGGAATTTCAGTGGACAACATATTTTTCAGGAAGACAATATCAAATAACAGGCTATTACATGATTGTTAGAGAAGTAGATCCCAACCTTATCCTGATAAACTTTCCAGGAGTCCTGGGGACATAAATATGAAGATGATATAGTCTTATCACATGATGAGCATGGGAAAAATCATACCACAGTGATCCTAGCTGGGTTCTGAGACCTTACACAAGGGTGGTTAGCAAGTCCCACTGGTATCCTTTGGTCCTGAAGGAGTACTGCAAGTCAGGCTGAGTGTAGAAAATCTGTAGCAACTGATTGGAACGCATCTCAGTTCTGTAGACATTAATTGAGCGGAGCACAATTAGTGGGACATCTACAGTGTGCACCTTGGGGGATATAAAGATGAAGAAACACAGTTCTTGTCTTCTAAGAACTGAATCTAGAGTAGTAGAGATTGCCTTGCGCAGTTGTTGATAAGTGGAATTGGTTGAAGTGATGGTGAAAAGTGGTAAACTGGAGCAGGCTTTCATAGATAGGGTATTTAATCCAGGCCTTCCGTGACTGGCAAGGTCAAGGAGAAAGCAAATTCTGGATTGAATGAAAAGCTTAGGTAAAGAAGTGGGGGTAGCAGAGAGACTCTCAGGGAGAACAGGGCTTCTCCTGGTGGCACGCTTCAGTGTAAGCTCTGGGACCCGCCAGGCCGTAGCAGCTGGGCTCAGCGGTGGGTGGTGCTTCGGAGGGGCAGCTCCCCAAGAAACCAGGAGGAGCGATGTAGGAGACGGCTCCCGGTGCTGCGGTGAGGAGCCGAAACTGTATTTTGTATGAGAAGGGAGGCAATGGTGGTTTGTAAACATGATTATTCATGTTGTTAATTTCCCCTAGGGTTTGGCTCAGGGCCTGGCTTAATAGGCACCTAATCAAGGCTTGTTCCAAGAGCTGAATTCCACATCCTAAACCAATGCAGTTAGTGGAGGGTGGGAAACAGGAAGAGAGAGAGAGAGATTAAGTATGATGAATCAGGAAGTAGCATGGCTGCTTTCTGAGTTTGCATAGGTAAGAAACTGGTCCCCAGCCCAAACCCAACATCAGGTAGCTCGAGTGGGTTGTGTAACTTCTCCACATTATCTTTCCTAATCTTTAGAGTGGAGTTACAAGTGCCCATCTTTTAGGCTTGTGAGGGTTGCATTCAGTGCTATGGGGGAGGAAATTGACAAAAACCATTCCACAAGTCACCTTAGTAGTATGCAAGTGTAATCAAAATCCGAAACAATCTTTCAAATGAATGTTAAGAATATAAATCTACGAGCTGGCGCTGTGGCATAGTAGGCTAAGCCTCTGCCTGCAGTGCTGGCATCCCATATGGGTGCCAGTTTATGTCCCGGCTGCTCCTCTTCCTATCCAGCTCTCTGCGTATGGCCGGCTATAGCAGTAGAGATGGCCCAAGTGCTTGGGCCCTAGCACCCACACAGGAGACTCAGAAGAAGCTCCTGGCTCCTGGCTTCAGACTGGCTCAGCTCCAGCTGTTCTGGCCGTTCGGGGAGTGAACCAACAGTTGGAAGATCTTTCTTTCTGTGTCTCCCTTTCTCTATCTGTAACTCTGTCTCTGAAATAAATAAAATATTTTTTAAAAAGAAAGAAAAAACTCATTTAAAAAAAAGAATATAAATCTTTCAAATGGATTCTAACGTTCTAGCCTAAGAAACGAAAAGACGTGAACAAAGATCGTGGGGTGAGGATGAGGGACGAATACTTTTAACAGCAAATATTTAGAAAAAAAAGAAATAAAAACAATTTGGGTTTATTTAAATATAAGGTGGAATATGACGCAACTCAAAATGTTTTTAAGATTTTTAGTGATATGATTCTCATATAATGTCGACTTTTTGAAAATATATAAAATGTATAGTTTCATCCCAATTATAAAGATATATCTATACATATATAAGGATATGTATATAAAGGTCCCAGTTCTATAAGAAACTTACAAATATTAAAACTAGAAGGAAATATATTAAGATCGATTTTTGGCTGGCGCCGCTGCTCACTAGGCTAATCCTCTGCCTGCGGCGCCGGCACACCAGGTTCTAGTCCTGGTTGGGGCGCCGGATTCTGTCCTGGTTGCCCCTCTTCCAGTCCAGCTCTCTGCTGTGGCCCGGGAGTGCAGGGGAGGATGGCCCAAGTGCTTGGGCCCTGCACCCCATGGGAGACCAGGAGGAAGCACCTGGCTCCTGGCTTCGGATTGGCGTGGTGTGCCAGCCACAGCGGCCATTGGAGGGTGAACCAACGGTAAAGGAAGACCTTTCTCTTTCTCTGTCTCTCTCTCACTGTCCACTCTGCCTGTCAAAAATTTTTTAAAAAGATCTATTTTTGTGTTTCTTTTATATTTTTTAACAGACATACAAAATTGTACATATTTGGGGGATACCACGTGATGTTGTATTACATCTATATGTTCTATAATAACGGTCAATCAGGGTAAACATATTTACCTCGTCAAACATTGGTCTTTTCTACATGTGAAAACATTGAAAACCCTTTTTTTTTTTTTTACTTTTTTAAAAGATTTCATTTACTTATTTGAGAGGTAGAGTTACAGACAATGAGAAGAGACAGAAAGGTCTTCCATCTGCTGGTTCACTCCAAAGCCAGTAGCCAGGAGCTTCTTCCGGGTCTCCCAGGTGGGTGCAGGGGCCCAAGGACTTGGGCCATCTTCTACTGCTTTCCCAGGCCATAGCAGGGAGCTGGATCAGAAGAGGAGCAGCCAGGACTAGAACTGGCACCCATATTGGATGCCGACACCACAGGCGGAGGATTAACGTACTACGCCATGGCGCTGGCCCCTGAAAATCCTTTCTTTTAGCTTTTTTTTGAGAAAAATATACAATGCCTTATAATTGTTAACAGTTGCCTTACTGTGCAATATTTCTAAATTATTGCTTTTCTTTGTGTTTTAAAAATTTATATATATACTTATGTTTATATTTATATTTATTGGAACAACAGAGAGACAGAACTCTCATCTGCCATTTCACTCCATAAACACGTGCAGTAGCCAGGAGTGGGCCAAGCCAAAGCCAGGAGCCTGGAATTCAGTCTGAGTCTACCAGAGAGGCAGCTGGGCCCCAAGTACTTGAGCCAACACCTTCTGTTTCCTCAGATGTACATTAGCAGGAAGTTGAGATTGGAAGCAGAGTCAGGACTCTGATATGAAGTGCAAGCAGCTGGGTGGTGTCTGAACTGCCACACCAAACCCCTACCCCCTTCTGTCTTCTAAACTTGACATCGCTTTTCTAGGAAACTCTCTGTACAAAGCCTAGATTGATGAGGACAACATGTCAGGTGGAGTAGCAGTGGCATGGGATCCTGGGCCTGGGACCCGATGGTCAGATACAAGGGGTGCAAGAACTGCCTGCCTCTTGGCCTCCGTGTTGCCCTCCTCCATCCTGCAGTGGGTTGACCTCAGGGTCTCTACATTCTTCCAGCTCAGAAATGTGCAAGGCAATGACTTGCTAAGGGTGTTAAGCAAGTCAGGATGGTTAGTGGGTGCTGCATTGTGGGAGAGAACATTCTGGAATAACTTTTTATTTAATTTTCATCTTTATGGAGTGCTTCTTTTAAATTATATCATTTCATAAACCGTTATGTGAATTTTACTTCCCCCTAAAATAATTCAGCACTTTGGCCACATTAGATCTTTCTTGTTTATCCTGAAATAATTATTGCAATGCGAAAAATCTAATTTTATAAGAATACTTCAGTGAGTCAGTTTAATAATGATAAAGAAAGAGCTCTGTTTTTGCTTCTGATAAAGAGAGGGCACTTCAAGAAGTCATTTATTTCTAGTTGCCTGGGACTAATTATTAGTAGTAAAAGGTTTATATACACATTGAGTTTTTCCTTTATCTCATATTGCACAGATCTGTTTGTTTTTTTCTTTAGTTAAGCCATTGATTGTAGGATTAAATTTTCGAGGTTTAACTTGAATACATAAGAAAATGTAGTTGGTTGTTGCTTTCCTGTTTTGCCTGTGTCTTTGCTTCTTTCAAGGTCTCAATGTTGGTTTGCTGACATTTTCATAAGTTTGTATAATATGAACTCATGCCTTCAAGATGATTTTGCAACTTTTATGTAATTCCTGGATTTATAGATGTCTTACAAATCTTAGCTATCAAAATTGCAGAAATTCAGAAGCTGTGTGTAAGACATTCCAAAGGCAAAAGTGAATATCAAATTGCTTATGAATTCTTATTTTTTAAGAGGGGGTGTTAATGTCTTACAGAGAGATCCCTCTGTTAAAACAAAATGCTATGGATAATTTACTGTGATGTATCCTTAACATCTTTACTTATTTTTTTATAAATTAGCGAGCTTCTAAAATAAAATGCTACGTATAAAAATTGTGTTTTATCAGAATTACTGTTATTTTTTTTTTTTTTTTTGACAGGCAGAGTGGACAGTGAGAGAGAGAGACAGAGAGAAAGGTCTTCCTTTGCCGTTGGTTCACCCTCCAATGGCCGCCGTGGCCGGCGCGCTGCGGCCGGCGCACCGCGCCGATCCGATGGCAGGAGCCAGGAGCCAGGTGCTTTTCCTGGTCTCCCATGGGGTGCAGGGCCCAAGCACCTGGGCCATCCTCCACTGCACTCCCGGGCCACAGCAGAGGGCTGGCCTGGAAGAGGGGCAACCAGGACAGAATCCGGCGCCCCGACCGGGACTAGAACCTGGTGTGCCGGCGCCGCAAGGCGGAGGATTAGCCTAGTGAGCCGCGGCGCCAGCCAAGAATTACTGTTATTTTGCAAAGAAGGTGTATTTCAGTATCAATAGCAAATGAAAAAATTGTATTTTGGCACAAAATACCATGCAGTTTGAAACTGCTATCAGAAACATTGCATCACTTAATCTGAAAGATGAATGGAACTTTTTAAATATATCAACTTGACCAGTGTGGTCCCAACGTGTAGTTGTAATCTCCTTGCCGTGTAATCATCCTGCTGACCTGCTTCCCCCCTGCTCTTTAGATTAAGCACAGATATGATGGACAGCGGTGTTTTAAACCTGTACCCCGTGGGATCAGCAGAAGCCTTAGAATTACAAGATCCTGCGCTAAAGTACGTTTGCCTTTTCAAGAGCTAAGTGTCTTTGCTCCTTCTACGTTGAAGTCTTTGGGCACTGAATTTCATTTTATATGTTTTTCTCCCTCCCTGTTTCTACAGTGGTCAAATACAGCTGGAGACATCCCCGTTGTGTGAGGTAAGGCTGCTGTTGAAAGAACCAGCGTTCTGTGCTGTGTTCTGCTGCTGCCGGCTGTTCACCACACTCTGAAATGTTGTATGGCATTGGGGGTGGATGTTTTCCTGAGTGAGGCCAATATTCGTGTTTATTCCAGACAGTTTTTCCATTTTTGTGCTTTTACCCTCATTAGTTCCAATTCTTCCAATAAAAATGAGAGTTTGCCATTTCTATCAGGTTCTCTGAATTTTTTACCTTAGATAGTCTGGCTGAGCCAGGCCACAGCAGTTAAGACACATGGGAGCCTGCTCTGTATGTTCAGAAACTGGAGTAGGGACGTTCCTCGTAGATTGTAGAGCCACAGTAGAAGTCTCTGAACTGGCCAGATGAACATAAGCTAGAAGAGACCTGGAAGATGAGAACAAACGATTTGGAGAGAATATTGTGAAGAGAAACAGGGGACAGGGGACAGGTGGGCTGGTGGAGTGACATGGGCTGAAATTCTGTAGGCTGTGGAGAAAACAATTTGGACATAAAACTGCAGATGATATTGCAAGGACCCAAAGAAAGATGAAGTTGCCCCAATCATAAAGATTTGAGCTGATCATCCGGAAGTGTAATGGAGTTTACAGCTGTTTCATCCTTTCTTAGTGAATGGGCTTAGAATGGCTCATTTTGGGTGCCAAGGTTGGCCATAAACCAGTTTATACCACCTGAGGTGTCTGCCCACATCCTGTAGCTGAGTGTCTCTTTAAAAAAAAAAAAAATAGAGGAGAGAGTATGGTTTCACTGTTAAGTGCAGTGACACGGAATTATGTTAGGTCTCATGTTGAAAGACTTGCTAACTGTGGACAAATTAATTATCCTCTCTAAATGTAACATTCATTGTTAATTAGGATCAATAATAATAACAAAAGGTCTTACACACAAGGCTAGGTGTTAGGTGTTGCTCTCCTGCTCTGTTGCTGTCGCTGGTGTAGTCTTTAGAATGAGTCATGGTGCTGCTATCTCCCTGGTTGGAGCATCACTGAATTACCCAGTAGCGGAACTTCAGGAAGTCTTTTATTTGCAGGCTGCCCTACCGTGAACCCATTTCTTGGAGCTGTCCAAATGAGATTGATTTTAGGTTTTGTGCAGACTTACTTTTTTATATAAAGCTTCTTATGTGGAAATAATTTTGAGCTTATGAAAAAGATTGCAAAAAATTTATTATCTATAAAAAGTTTCAAAAACTCACAATCTTGTACCCAAATTTCCCAGTTGTTGACATTCTACCAGTTTGCTGCTGTGTGATTTGTCCCCCACCTCCACCCCTCTCTCAGTTTCTCTCTCTCCTCACATATGTATGTGTAGATCTTTTTCTGAAATACTTTAGATTAGGTTTCATACATCATAGTCCTTTACCCCAAAATATTTCAGTGTGTTTTATTTTATTTTATTTGAAAAACAGAGATGGAGAGAGGTCTTCCATCTGCCGGTTCCTTCTCCAAATGTCCACAACAGCCAGGGCTGGGCTAGACTGAAGCCAAGAGCCTGGAACTACATCCAGGTCTCCCACATGCATGGCAGGAACCCAAGTGCTTGAGCCATCAGCTGCTGACCCCCAGGGTCTGCATTTACAGGAAGCTGGATCAGCAGCAGAGTAGATGGGAGTCCAATCAGGCTCTCAGATATGGGATGAGGGCTTCCCAGGCAATAACTGAGCTGCAGCAGCCGAAGTACCCAAAGTTCCCCTTCTCTGGGTGTGTTCTAAGAGCAGGAATTGCATCCTACATAACCTCATTTCAGTTTTCAGCTTCATAAATTACAGTGACAGCATGTTTTCAGTGACCCTCCATCCATACTCCTTGTTTGTCAGTTGCTCAAATGATAGATACTGTTCAAAGCATTTTCTCCTCTAGCGTAGGATCCAGTCTAGTGGCAGGTGTTGTATTCATTTGTCAGGAATCCACAGCCTCCTTTAACCTGGAAGGAACATTTCCCCACCTTCTTTGATTTTTCTGATGTTTTGAAATTTTGAAGAACAGAGGCTTCCTCTTTTTTTTTTAATAGAATATGACCCATTTTGTGCTTGTCTGATGTTTCCTCGTGATTAGGTTGAAGTTCTGCAACCTTATTTGGATATTGAATAGTTGATATTGTGTCCTTGGGGTATCACATTTGGGGCTACTCTATGTCCATCTGTCCCTTATTGGTGATGTTAATTTGGCATGTATTTCTGATTTTTTTTATACTAGGTCTTTCTATATGCCAAACTTATATACAAGGGTATGTACTTCAGAAAGTTTGTGGAAAAGTGGAATTAAAAAATAAGTTTAGGAGAGGGCATTTTGGTGCAGTGTTGCCAGTTAGGATGCCAGTATCCCATATTGGGGTATACCTGGGTTTGAGTCCTGGCTTCACTCTCAATTCCTGCAAATGAACACCCTTGGAGGCAGCAGGCGGGGCCCTACCACCCACATGGAAGACCCAGATTGAGTTCCAGGCTCCTGAACTTGACCTGGTTTAGCCACAGCTGTTGCAGGCATTTGGGAAGTGAATCAGAAAATGGAAAGTCAGTCTCTCTCTCTCTCTCTCTCTCTCTCTCTCTTTCTCTTTCTCTCCCCTAACTAAATAAATAAAATTTTGAATAAAAAACATACAGTGCAAAAAGCTCTTTGAAATACATAGTTTTTTCATAATCCACATGTTCTTTGAACTTTTTAAAGACCCCTCATCTGCATGGGTTTCAAAAGTTTTCACCAAAAGAAACATCTTTCAAGTCTGTTTTCCATGAACTTTTTAATGTACTGTCAGAGGTTCTCATTATTTCATTCCTTCAGCAAATATTCACTGAATGTCAGCCACATGTCAAGCACCACTCTGGACACTGTAGAAGTAACAGTGAACAAAGCAAAGTCGTCTTTACTCTTATGAGTTTATGCCCCCGATGAAGTTCTAGCCAAAGTAGGAGCTCTTGTGTCCAATTTACTGATGGAGAACATGAAGCTCAAGAAGCCCAGGTGCTGGCTGGGCCGCTTCTGTGGTCAGTGGGTAGGCTCTGCTTTCACTGTGACATACTGCCTTCCCATGCTGGAGACCAGTGGTACACATGGTCATGCCATACATACCTTAGTGGGGCCTGATGGCATCATACCTCTTCTTAAGAGCAGGCATTGGCCTACGGGGAGAGGCCATAGTACTTACGTGTGCATGAAAACACAGGAATGGGGATGGGGTATGGAGGGAACAGGTGATGAGTTCGTAGCCAGTCTACAGGAGCCCAGTTCCCAGTTTGTCTAGGTCTGGTTTTCATCTCGTTTTCTACTCTAATAACAATGCATTGAATGTCTTTTGTTGGCGTTGTGACTTAACTTGCCAATTCAAAGAGTTACTAAGAATTGCAGCTGATAGTAAACATTTCGGTGGTGCTGAAAAAGAAATGTTTAACATGTCACATTTCCCTCCTGTCAGTGCAAGACAGTTTTAATGTGTAGCCTGCTCTCATTCCCATCAGTGAAAGTATACTGTATCTACATTTTTTAAAGTGGATTTTTTTATGCAACTTTTTGATCCTCTCTATTTGATTTCCCATTATTTGTCTTTCTCAGTCAGATGACACAGACCCTGAAAGTGGGACCTAACCCAGTACCAGTACAGCATGAGTAGTTAGTGAGGGTCTGTGGCACAGAAGGGAAAAGAAAGGGAAGGGAACAGGAAACAGACTGGAAGGAACAGGTTTGTTGAGCAGAATTTCAGCGTCCCCGCTCACATGATGTGCTGGCCTCTGCATCTTCGTTGGTAGCTGAACTCCTGATGCAAGTCAATATATGTATGCTCCGAAATGCATTTCATTGTGCGTGTGTAGATTGCAACTTCTCTGACGCTTTGCTCTGTGCTCATAAAACTGCATGGACTTTGCTGAAGTTCAGCTGTGCTTGCATCATTCTGTTATTGGAGAAGCCTCGTGGCATGCTAATGTAAGATTTGATTTCCAGGGAATGTGTCAATCACTCAGTCGGTTCCGTGTCCCTAGCTTGCTTTTAATGAGGAGTGTGTTGCGTCCATCAACCAGCCAGCCATTAACCCGGTCGACAGTGAACTGCAGAAGCCCAGGGCTGCATGCCATGAGGGCCTCTGAGCCAGTTACTGCACACTTTTCTCCACAGTGCGTTTTCTGCTGGAATCAGGCAGATTGCATACTGTTCTGTACACACAAGATGTACGAGGACAGCCTACCTAGGGTACAGGAGTCAGTAGAAAAAATTAGAGGAAGGGGTCACACCTGAAGTTATTTGTTAGCAGTTCTAAGTCATTTTTTAAAGGGACATTAATGATATTTCATTCTAAAAATACATTTTTCCCTTGGATTTGTTTCAAGGACAGGGATATTTTCAGTAACACTCCTCAATGACAAATAAACATTGGCATCTTAAAGTTATATTTGTGTGGTAGGATATATGAAGAAGCTTATATTGGCTATCACCAAATTGTTAAAAGAAGATTATTTATTTGAAAGGTAGAGTTACAGAGAGAGAAGAGAGATGGAGCGAGAGATCTTCCATCCACTGGTTCACTCCCCAAACAGCGGCAACAACCGGGGTGAGCCAGGCCGAAGCTGGGAGCCAGGAGCTTCTTCCAGGTCTCCCATATGGGTGCAAGGGCTCAAGGACCATCTTCCGCTGCTTTCCCAGACACATTGGTATGGAGCTGGATCGGAAGTGGAGCAGCTGGGACTTGGACAGACACCCATATGGGATGCTGGTGCTGCAGGCCACAGCTTTAACCCACTGCTCCACAGCGCCAGCCCCATCACCAAAGTTTTTGTTAAGCTGGATCAGTGGGGCTCTTGGTTGCCATGTACAAAAGGCTAAGCTAGACTGTGCCCCTTGTGGGCCCCTTGTCTTTGTGTCTCTCTCATGCTGAATTACCAGGGCTCTTCCCTCAGTCACAGATCCTTACCATGTCCAGAGAGTAGCTGGCCACCCTCGTGGGCTCCTGTGCCCCATAAATAATAATGACTTTCAAATCTGTTGGCTTAGGCTCCAAGCCCCTCCCCGATCTCCCAGTGTGCAGATCTCGTTCCCAAGCCCCGAGCTTGTCCTTCTCTGGTGGCTGAACCGAAGCTGTCAGGGCCTCCTGAACTGCCCTGGCACCCTCGGGGGCAGTCAGCGACCCCCAACACCCACCCGGCCACTCCTGCTGGAGACCTGGCTGTCATCTGGACAGTTACAGACAGTGTGCGCTCTAGCGTGGAACTTTCCCTACACTCTTCTCTCAACCTTTGGTTGCCACATGAGTAAACTGATGTTTACCTGACTGCATTGAAGGGCCAAGTATGTGTATCGATTAAAAGTTCCCAGTGTGATTCTGTGTATATCAGAATTACTACCTTGGATTGTTTATGAAACCCAGAGTTTGGTAAGCTACCGAGGCAAGGTGATAATCACAAATACCTGGGAATGTGCACCTGGTGCTTTGGATTTTTCTGCAAATAGAGCTGCTGATTCTGGAAGATGGAAGTATGACCTACTTAGCTGTTTAGCACACTAACTAATTAATTCTGTGTATAGTCATTGTGTGTCTATAAGTCAGGGATGTGACAGAGGTAAGAAAGATGGCCTTCTTGGCTCATCAGTTTCACAGTCTAATATAACATATAATGCATTTTATTCTTCTTTCAGGTGCAGAGTGATCCCACATTGCAGAGTAATGGGAGCCAGTATTCTGCTAATGAGGTAAATTTCCTGAAGATTAATAGAAGTGAAGGAATTTCATGAAGGCCGAATGAGACTGTCTTCTGCAGAAATAGATCATCTCAGCCTGTTATAATTAATAAATTAATTGAAGAGTCTCTGGGGAGATCCATCTCACTCTGCGTAGCTGCCATAGCCTTCTTTGGCCCTAATCATAATTCAAGATTAGTTTTGTGAGAGGTGTTTTCAAAAACAAGCGAGGGGACATCTTTACAGAAAGCAGAATGAAAACTGCTTAAGCAGGCAACGTTTCGAATGTCCTGTTTGGGGGCATGGTTCCATGTGTGGGTTCTCTGGATGGTGAGAGACCCGGATGTGGTTTTCTGTTTCTCATCCAGCTGCATTACACCCGTCTTCACGGGAGGCATGCAGCTACGCCGGGGGAGAGGTGGCTTCCCAGTTGCATGCCATTGTGAAGCATTTTTATAATAAACCAAAAAAATAAATACATAATGCTAATCGAGCCAGTCACCTAAAGACAACATTGTGCTGCCTATGCCCTGGAAACATTTGCAGAGAGATTTTTTTTTTTAAAGGCAGGACTTCATTGCACACCAGCGTGTGCAAAGCAGGAGCGGTTTTATTGTAATCCTTGAACATGCAGAAGCACCCACAGTTCTGCTTCGGTTTTTCAATAACGCTTTTCCCTTTCGATGCCACAGATGAGAGAGAACTCTCCTGCAGTCTCTCCTACCACAAACAGCGGAGTTCCATTCGGCCTGAAGCCTCGATCAGGTAAATGCAAACCTCCACCCCTTCTTACACTAAATAAGTCCGTGGTTTCTACTTAGCCTTGTCAGTGTATTCATGATTAGTGTGGACATCCTTGTCAGTTCTGGCCTGTTGGGGTCCTGGCATCAGAACCTGGCGACAGCTTTGGGAGGTCAGAATTGGCAGCTTCGTTTCCAGGGAGTCAGGTGTGCAGTCCCCATCGTCAGCCATGGGCATCTTTCTTTTTGAATCAGAGCAAAGGAGAAAATAAAGAGGGTGGGCGCGTGCATGTGGGGAAGAAAGAATGGACTGGGATTTTTTACCCAAGGAAGATAATGTAGCTGCCCCTTTTCCCACCCGGTGGGCCCTGGCCCTCTGCTGAGTTAAGGGGTAGCCTCTGGGCGAGGGACCCCATCCTAAGACATCTCTCACTCGCTCTCTGAGCCTGGTGTGTTGTCCTCTGTATTTGCTCTGTCGACAGCGATCATTTCAAGGCTTGCAGGAGTGGTCAGCAATCATTTTTTTAAGTCTTCTGGAAAAACATTCTGTTTACATTATCTACCTTAATTTGTGACTTACGTGTATTCACAAAAATAGAGCAATCTGCATGATAACTTCTGATTTTAAAAAGGAAGGCTCTCTGTAGAAAACCTGGTTCTTTTGATTTTCACACTTATAAGGTTCTGGTGCTGTCTGCCTTCTTGTATGACGTTCTTGGAATTTTTGATTCTTTGCTGTCTAGCACACATGCACTCCTAATGCTTCTAAGCCAGCGCTAACAAAGGATTCGGACGCTTTTGAGTGAAAACTTATAAAGAACTCAGATGTTGTTGAGTTTGACAGTAGAGCGTGTTGACAGCAGAAGTTAGGCATGTGTAGATCTTGAAAAAAAGGCACCCCCCAGGAAGAAAGAAACAAAGATGATTCTTTAATAGAGGAAGTGTTTTTCCTTCTCAAGTTGATTAATGAGTAGCATGTGGCCAGGTGTGGTGGTTTCCTGGAAGTTGGAACAAGGCTCCTAAGGAAAAAGCTGTTTGAGAAAATGCTTGAGTGTGAAGAGAATTAGTATGTATTTTGTGGAGAAGCAAATTGGACGTGAAATAAGACTGCAGTGGCTGATGTTTGGAGCCAAGCATATGTGGCCCGAGCTGGCAGGGTGGGCCTTGGCTGCACCACTTCTGTGACCTCAGCTGTGTCTGGGTACACACCTCCTACATGCTTTCCATGAGGGCCGCTGGACCTCATTCTGGGCGACAGACTTTCTCCTAAACTTTCTAGACAGTTTCACACAACCTAGAAATATTTCACAATGGAGCAAATCGCACGTCGAGTGGATCTCCGAAGAACAATATTCTTTTGAATGTGTGACTTTGCAATTTAGTTGTAAAATTTCTTCAGTGACTTTTTTGCTGCTTTTATGGAGTCCAGAGTCAACTTACCAAAGTTAGAGTGTGCACTGTACTGGCACTGTGAAACCATTTAGATTCTTTGAGGTGGTGAGAACTAAGCAGAGTATTTATTTTAAACCACAGAAAACAAAGGTCATTTCCTCCCCAGGCACCCACCCTTGCAACAGTGCTGACTTAACCAAGGTGGAAATTGTTCTGGTTGTTGAAAGCTCTGTGGAGTTTGGTTGCTCTAAATAATGCTGATTTATCTCAAGGAACAGCAAGTGACAATATTATAACTCTGTAAAACTAGCATTATGTATTGGGAATTTTTTTTTTCATTTTAATAAGCAACTTTTAAATATGAGAATGTTATTTTTCACATTTTTCTGGAGACTAATACACGTAGTCATATTAATTAGAGATCATATGCTTCAAACAGCGTCACCATTTTTGATTGAGTAGCTTTGGAATGCTTAAAGCCAAGTAATTTTTTATTTTAACATTAAGTATAGGGATTTATGTGAATGCTGTGTTATAAATAAAAGCAGGCTGCTCAAATTAGCAAGTTGAAATAGCCACATAGATTTTTAAAGTAGATTAACAGCTTTCTAAAAATGAAACGTTTTTTCTCATCTGTGTTTTCCTCCCAAAGAAAGCTAGTGCACATACTCAAGTATGTATTCCGAGGAGGTCAGAATTGGCATTTTACCAGCCATGCCTTATGATTGGATTACAGATCATGGCGCTCCTTCCTAAATTTGAAATTACTATAGGAATATTCAATGCAAATGTAAGAGATGTCGTCATTTCGTAAATGACCAACTCAAGAAATTCTTGAAATTGATATTTACTGGCTAAGCGGATGTTTAAATTAAGTAGACCCTACAAATACCCCACACCACCCCCCTAAAGCATTGAAGGAGATGGCAAGAGTTGAGGCAAGAGATTCAGCTATCAATAAAGCCTGCCAGTAGACTTGCAGATTTCTTTGAAAAGAAATAATGTTGTGTCCGACTAGTGTTGGGGGAGAATTTTAGCTGTTTAGAAAGGTGTCGCGGGATCTTGTGCCCATAGTGTGTGTGATCCGTGGCTGCTCTTTCTCTCTGCGGTCGTGACTCGCTAGTCCTCTGAGTCTAGGGGCTACAGAACTGTTAAGATGAACAGTGTTATGCATGCCAAGTATGTGATTGATGAGTACTAACATTCCGTTTTTGTCATTCTTTTTATTCCATGCGCCACCCTTCATTCTCCTCCTATATCGTACATTTGAAATGAAATCCCATATAAATGAAACCCACTTCATTCCATTCGCCCCTTATGCCATTTGTGAAATGCTGCTGCCCCTTTGGTTTTCCCTGGTCCTTGTGCAACTGTACGCGGACTGGCTCTCTCGCCCTCCTGCAGACCCAGCCCTCATTCTCCCTCCTATCTCCTTCAACAAACTTACACAGGCACAAACATGGGACAACTCTAGCTACAGTGTTCCATCTGCAGGAGACAGTGACAATGGTAGGTGGCTTTGTACCTCTTCTTCAATGTTCTCATTAATGAGCCAATACTGAGCTGTCTGTTCTGTGCAGCCGGAGATAGCGTGTGTTCACCTGCATGCTTGGTACGTACGAGAAAGGATGCGTAAGCTTGAAAGGGAAGCCCGGAAAGTTGCATGTGGATTATTCTCTAGCCGATTGTCAAACTACAGTTTAATTATCTCCACTATTCTGGGTTTGGCGAAGACCTGACATTCCTTTCTTTCCTAGCTTTTCTGCTTGGGTGTCTGGGTTTGGTGGCTTGGCTACAACCACGTGGGGTTTGCACATTTGGAATATCTCTGCTTGCTCTGCACCTGAATGCTTCAAAAGTTGGATCTTTTATGATCTGTACTTAACCATAGGCAATGTTTAAGGTAATTAAAAAGGTTACTTGACTGATGCTGAGTGTTGCACAGAAAATAATGTTAATGTTGAGAACTGTCTAAAATGAAGAAAAATCACTTGCCTTCTCTTTTTTTTAAAAAAAGTATTTGTACATTTTGACTTTTGATAGTTTCTGGAGCATAAGTTCATTTGTAAAATATTCAAGAATGATAACTTAGCCTGAGAACCAAATGTGTGAATAAAAAATTGAGGACATCTAATAGGATTAATATGACTGTCTCAATTTTGTGCCATTAAATACCTAAATAGCCTGAGACATAAAAATAAAACACATAGAATTGTCTGGGTCTATATACCACATATATCTCAGTCTCCAAATGCTGGTTAAATTTTAAACATTTTACTTCAAGGTGCACATTGATAAAAATAATATGAAGCAGTGTGATTTATAGGGAAGGCAAGTGAGAGGTAATCACAGTGAAAATACAATAGGATGATACAGTTTCTGATAATAGGATGACACGTTTTCTGATAACACTTACTTGTTTCTGAGGTTGTTATATGCAATACTTGGGAAATATGTCATTAAAACACTTGCTGTGATTTATGATTAAAATTCAACCAAAGATGATACAATGGTTTCCTTATATAGAAGGAAGTATAGTTATAAAAGGAATTTTAATATTACATAAATTTCTGAGTTTTTTAACTGAAAATCCGTACGATTAAGAAACAACAGGAGTGAAACAAACCCCTCTGTAGATCATGCTGTTGTTAATGTTGGAAGCCAGAGAGGGCTACTCGGTAAACTGTTCCTTTACTTAAACATAAAAAATAGAGGAGTGGAGGCCTTTTTGTTTTTCAAAGCAGGGCTATTTATGGGTCTGGTGTTGTTTAAAGGAAATAAAGCTGAGAGTGAAAGATTTATGTCTGATTTGGTATTTCCTTAGAAATGATATCTGATACCAAAGCATTTTTTTTTAAAGTTGGGAAAGAATTAGATGTCTCCCGTGGCAGTAGAATTTCTGAACTGAACAAAACCAGAAAGGTGAGGTGAGCTGCTTGGGGCAGCTCTAACCCTTCAGAGTCTCCTCTCTGTGAGATCCACGTCCATTGTGCGGGTGTTCACTGCGCACACTCTGTGCCCCGGGGTAAGCCAGGCTACCTTCTTCTTATGAAAAATTCTGAGAGTTCCGTAGGAAAGAATCGTCGTGGAAATCTTGGTAAAAATAAAAGAGCCATCCCGCCGTTATTTGGCATTGTAGTCTGTGCGTGAAACTCCCAGGGGTGCACCTGAGGCTGTGGAGCTGAATGCCATTAGTAAGAAAAGGATTGTTTCCAGTGTTCATCTGGACCTGTCCATCATGCCAGGGGTCTGGTGGCTGTCATCTGCTCCAAGGCGCCCCAGGCAGCGGATGATTGTCTGTGTAGGAATTCTCTGCAACCTTCTGTGCAGGTTCCTGGCGCTGATGGTTCCTGTGCACCTTCATTCTCTGTGCCGAGCGTTGCCTGGTAACTGGAACACATGTTGTCGTACAGTCTGCGAGTGGAAGAGGCTGCACTGTGGGTCCACAGGGGTGTGTGCTGTTGTGTCCAGAGGCGTGCGGCCCACTTTTTATGCTGTCCGGGCTGGTTCCTCTGAAGGAAAAGATCCCATTCGGGGGCCTCTCTTCACCTTTCAAAGCTGACTTCCACAGCACTTTTGTTGCCTCAGAGTCCGCAGGTGTCTCACCCTTTCCAAATGAGAGGCATCTTATGGCCAGCTTGCCTAACGTAAGGCTGGCTGACTTTCGCTTACATGTTCTAGTTACTCTTTGGGGTCAGCTTGGCATTCTGTGTGCCTCTCTCACGGTCTTGCTTTCTGGAAGAATCCCTCTTTTACTTAAATTCTTGCCGATGCTTCATTCCCACTCTCTCTCATTTTAAATCCCGCATTTTCTCTGACATGATTTTTCCAAGAGACTCTTTCAGTGGAGAACTGGTGAGAAGGCCCTTGGGAGTTTGGGTTCCCACAGTCCCCAAAGTTCTGCCTCCATCCCGAGAGGGCTGGAGGGGGTGGAAGTGTGTCTTGTTCTGCGCCAGCTTTGCCCTGGTTTCTTCCTGACCTGAAAACATGATTTCTGCTCTTTGCCTTGCCCTTGCACCTTCTCCCCCCGCTCCTTTCTCTTTGGAGTTAAGACCCTTCCTGTCTTCTTCTAAATCATTTTTGCTTTTTTACTTGCCATGAATTAATGAGTGCTAATTTATCCACAGTTCAAGTTGATATTTAAATAATCACCTTGAAAATGAATGAATAGACATGTCAGTCCTGAGCCAGTTCATAGACAGCTTCCTTAATTTCTTTACACTCATCTTTCACTAAGGTATTATTTTTCCCATTACAAAGAAAATAATCAAAAAAGGAAATGGAGGATGTCCGAGTTCTTGCAGGGTTCTCCACTCTGGCTTTATGTTAGAATCGCCTAGGTCCCATCCCTTTATGTGATGTTGTATTCAAGTGAGGTTGAAAGCCACTGAGTTAAGTAAATTGCCCAAGACCAGAGAGTGGAAACTGGAGAATTTTTGAGGGCAGAGAATGTGTTTAATTCCTCTGGGGACAGAAAGGAATGAATGAGTGATCTGCTCAGATTTGTAATTCACAGTAGCCTGGATATAAAGCTCATTCTATTTTTTCAAAGCCACTAGTTGCTACCCTTGAATTTGTTTATCTTAAACATCACGCCCTATCTAGGTTCATAACTTTCAAAGAAAAGGTGAAAGCTAACTTTCAAAATCTCAAATTTCTACTCAGAAGAAATTTCCTCTCATTGAATTAAATTGAGACAATGACTACGGATTGGTGCTTTTTATATAAAGAGTGCATTTCAGGCAATAATTAAATGATGAAGTGCATTTGGGGCGAGTTTGCGAGCAGGGCTTTCTTTGCTGAACTAAGAGTTGTTCTCCAGCGGTGGGAGACATGGTCTTGCGTGCATCCTTAAGCACCCACAGAGCGCCTGCTGCGCTTATCATTGATACAGCTCAGAAAAGACAGACAAGATCCATTTTCAAGGAACTGACTTCAGAGTCTAAAGTATTCAGACCTCGAGTCTGAGCTTAGAGAGGAAAAGGGCAGCTGATTGGTTGTCAGGACAGACATGTCTCTGCAAAAATACTGTCCAGATAGCATGAGCTTCAAAAGAAGCAGCTTTTGAAACACCCATTTCGTTTATTCATTCAACAAACTCATCCTGCCCCACTCTCTGTTTTGTGGTACAGAGGTGGAGGAGAACCAGTTGGCAGCAGAAGCTAACAGGTTTGTGATGGGGGCAGATATGTCTGTGTCATCAGACAAAAAGGGGTGAGAGTTTTGGACATGAGAAAGTTTCATGCATTCATAGGAGGGTGCTTCGCTTGGCCGTGAGCCTGGGAGGACAGGGAAGGAAAAGGCAGAGACAATGGGAACATCAGTGGAACTTGACCAGTACCTGCAAGGATGGATTTGGATTTTTTTTTTTTTTTTTTTGAGTCTTTGCTTGTTTGTGTTTAAAGATTTACTTGAAATCAGAGTAACAGAGAGAGAAGGAGGAGAGACAGAACCAGAGATCCTCTATCCATTGGTTCACTCCCCAAATGGCCACACAGCAGCCAAGCTTGGGCCAAGCCAGAACCAGAAGCCAGGAATCCAACTTGCTCTCCCACGTGGTGACAGGCCCCAAGCACTTGGGCCATCTTCCAGGGCCTTTCCAGGCACGTTAGCAGGGAGCTGGATTGGAAGCGGAGTAGCAAGGACTTGAACCAGCACTCTGATACGGGATGCTGGCATCCTGAGGGGTGGCCCAGCCCGCTGTGCCACATGCTGGCCCAGCCCAGCAGGATGAACTTGATGTTCTGTGTGAGCGTGCTCATCATTCTCTGCAGAGCCGTGCTTGCAAATTTGTCACGTCTGCGAAATAATTACACTTACAAACAATTTACTTTTTTTTTCATGTCAGTGTTAGTTATTTGACGTATAGTAATTAAACGTTTAATTCTCCCCCGATGTTTTAAATCACCTACCCTCTGTCTCTTCTTGAGTACACAGAGATGCAACCACTCACACTCACTCTCCTGACCACCCCCCTTTTAAATTACACTTAAACAATCAGGGTAGCATGTGGCTTGAAAGGAGGTGCTGGGAGTGGTGTTTGGCCTACCAGCTACTGTGCAGGTCAGGATGCCTGCTTTCCCCACTGGAGTGTCTGGGTTCCAATCCTGTCTCCTGACTCCTGCTTCCTGCTAATGCAGGCCCTGGGAAGCAGCAGGTGATGGCTCAGGTGATGAGGTTTCTGCCTTCCACCTGGGCGTCCTGGAGTGCTCCTGCCTGTGGCCTGGCTCATCTCCAGCCCTTGCAGGCATTTAAGGAAAGAATGAACGGGAGCTCTGCCTGTCCCTCTGGAGTGTAAATAAATAAATAAATAAGTTGTTTTACAAAAAAGCATTAGTTCAATGTAGGGCTACTTCTTAATGTAGTCTTTTAGCCTCAAGTTCAACTTGTATTCTCTTAAATTAAGTAAGGGGGATGTTTAAATGTAGCACTATGGAATTAAGAAAACCACAATAATTCTTCCATAGATGAATTTCCTGAAGACTTGGTCACAGGATTTATGATTTAAATATTACTCGAAAGAAAAAAAAATGTAACTAATTAGAGTTAGCTTAAAATTAGAGCTACCTGGGGCTGGCGCTGTGGCGCAGCGGGTTAATGCCCTAGCCTGGGGCACCTCCATCCCATATAGGCACCGGTTCAAGACCCGGCTGCTCTACTTCCGATCCAGCTTTCTGCTATGGCTTGGGAAAACAGTGAAGGATGGCCCAAGTCCTTGGGAAGAAGCTCCTGGCTTTGGATTGGTGCAGTTCTGGCCATTGCAGCCAGTTGGGGAGTGAACCATCAGATGGAAGACCTCTCTCTCTCTGCCTCTCCTCTCTCTGTGTAACTGACTTTTAAGTAATAAATAAATCTTAAAAAAAAATAGAGCTACCTAAAATCACTGTCATAACAAACCCAGAAAAATAAGCTAATAAATTTCTTATGAGCCTAAAGTTTGTTTTCATTTCTCATATATTCCATAGTGTATAATACATTTAGAAAATGGGTAGTAATATAGTTATTTCTAATAATTTGTTACGTGTTTGAGCTGTTCATTTTACTTTTTTTTTTAATTTATTTGACAGATAGAGTTAGACAGTGAGAGAGAGAGGGACAGGGAGAAAGGTCTTCCTTCCATTGGTTCACCCCCCAAATGGCCGCTATGGCTGGCGCGCTGTGCCGATCCGAAGCCAGGAGCCAGGTGCTTGCTCCTGGTCTCCCATGTGGGTGCAGGGCCCAAGTGCTTGGGCCATCCTCCGCTGCCTTCCCGGGCCACAGCAGAGAGCTGGTCTGGAAGAGGAGCAACTGGGACAGAACCCGGTGCCCATATGGGATGCCGGTGCCGCAGGTGGAGGATTAACCAAGTGAGCCATGGCACCGGCCCCTGAGCTGTTCATTTTAAAAACTACAATTCAGATGTTTGGGAACACTTTTTGATTGTGGAACAGTCATAGAGCAAACACTCAAGCATGCATCTTGTATTTTTTAGATGCGCAGGAATTTAAAAGCAACACCAGGAAATCAAAAGACAGCTCTGCGTTATCCTGATATCTCATGGAGACTCAGATTGTCTGCAGTTCAACAAAAGCCCATGGTTCATTTAACTTCCTGATAGCTTCATAGTTGCAATGGATCCTGCCAGTAAAAACACATTGAAAATATGAAGCTTGCCTTGTTAGATAAATTATCCCCAGAAGAAAGGCAAGGGAAAGCTATACCACCAAAGAAAACGGTGTTGCAGCGCCCCTTGCTGGCGTCTGTGTGTACTACCCAGCTCTGGCCACATTCCTTGACTTTTTTGGTAAATTTGGTGACTTTGGGGGTGCGGATTATTTCTCGGTCTTACATTTAAATATATTTCTCTTCCCAGAGCTGCGCTTCGTTGGGTAGATTTCTTTTGCTTTGTTTTTGTCGAGGTGCAGTAGAGGCAAGTTTGACACGTTCTCCACTTGCTGCATGCTGCTTCGTTTGTCTCATAGCCCTTTGCTCTGTGAAACTTCCATCTCCTCCTTTCTGCCCACGCTGTCCTCCTTTTGCGGGCCTCGACTTTGGTTTTTCAACGACTGGGCTTGCTTCCTGTGTGGTTTGGTTTTCCTGGGCCTCCATGAAAGTCCTCTTGTGAGGTGCCTCTGGCAGTTTCTGCCTGAGATTCCTTGGGTAGCTTCCAGCAGAGACACGAAGGCCCAGGCTTACTCCTCTCTGAGGTTCCCCAAGGCAGATGGCCTCATGGGGTAGAGCGTCCTCTTTTCTCCAGCAACTGTGAGTCAGGGACTAAGGATGTGTCCACTTTCTAATAGCCCGTCGAGCATCGGAATGCTGAGCCAAACACTGTAGAGCTGATGGAGAAAGAACATAGGAAGGTACAAATTAAAATGATATACTTAGGTGAGCGCAGGATATGTAATTATATGGAGTAGACACAGGAACTCCTTTTTATTCAAAGTATATTTGCAAATCATCTTTAATTTTTAAAAACCAAATACATTGAAATAGTTTCTGAACTAGTCCATAGGAAGTGTTTGTCAGGATAGAATAAAAGTCGCATACCCTTCTTATGTGATTTAAATTGTTGTTCAAATATGATGTTTAAATTCTAGCGGTTGAAGTTTCTGTAATTACACTGTGCCAATGCAGCCTCCTATATAATACTGATATCTGAAATTGGACTTCTGTGTCCAAAATGTCCCAAAGGACTCCTCCTCCACAGGGGGCGCCAAATTCGGCTTTTGACAGCTCTTTGCTGCCTTCTTTGTGCAGGGAATGTTGGCAGTCTAGGATAAAAATCTCTAGGAAGAACAAAAGTTCAAGTTTTAAGACTGCCCTGGGCTTGCTAGCATAAAAACCTGAATTAAAGCCCCTGCTGTAATTGCCCTTCCGTGTATAGATTTTTTGTTTTTGACATCTTGATTGGGCTGTGAAAGAAGTTCTCCTTCAGAGGTTAAGAGCAGGCACTTTGGGGCCTCCTTTCCCGGAGAACGCGGTCGTTACTATTCTTGGTGGTTAAAATGTCAAGAGCCCGAGCCAACGGCGTGATCTCTGAAGCTGTCTCTTCTTGCCAACCTTCTAAAAGGAGTGTCCGCTCCTCTCTCATGAGCTGGCTTTGGGGACGTCTTTGTCAGTGACGTGGTGGAAGGCAGAATTTTCCCTCCTCATTCAAATGGGAACCATATAGAACCACGTAGCTCTTAACCCAGGTTCATAAAAAGTGTTACCCCACAGCATTAACCTGTGCTTATTTTTAAACTGTAAAGCAGTTCCAACAGTCTTCTTATTGGACAGAAATTATCAGAATTCAATAAAAGGATTGTGAGTGTAAATTTAAAGTTAGCGTGACAGCAGTGGGCAGATAAGAGAGGCAGAGCCCCTGGAATGGTCGCCATCATGAGCCAAAACCTGCCAAAAACCCAGCTGCTTAGTCCACAGAACCCAGGATAATTTAAGTGATAGTCTTCTTTAGAATATTCAAATCAAACTTTCTCTGTAATCCTGATTTCTTTGCTTGAGGGATAAATCACTTTTTTTTCAAAAGGAGACTTTGTTTAATTTAAATATGAATAGCCCTGCCTGGCAACCTGTAGAGGGCACGACCTAAAGGCGGTGTTTTTTTTCCCTTTATCTGTTGTAGTGTTTCTCAGACCTCAGAGAAATCTGGAGTCTATAGACCCGCAATTCACAATTCGGAGGAAGATGGAGCAGATGAGAGAAGAACAAGAGCTGGTGGGACAACTCCGTGAGGTACCCAAAATACCATGCGACCAAACAGGAATTTTCAGAACTGAAAAACAGAGCCCGAGGACAGGTGGTGTGGTACAGGGAGTCAGGCTGCTGCTTGGGTGCCTGCATCCCATACTGGAATGCAGCTGCTCTGCTTCCCACCCAGCTTCCTGCCAATGCACACCCTGGGGGCAGCAGCTGACACCCATGTGGGAGACCAGGATTGAGTTCCATGCTCCCGGTGTCAGCCCTTCCCAGGGCATTTGGTGAGTGAATCAGCAAATTGAAAATCCCTATCTGTCTGTGTTGCTCTGCCTTCCAAATAAATAAAAATAAACAAACATTTTAAAAAATAGACTTTAAGGGTTGGCATTGTGGGGTAGTGGAACAAGCCACTGCCTGCGACACCGGCATCCTTTATGGGTGCCAGTTCACATCCAAGCTGCTCCAGTTCCAATCCAACTCCCTGCTAGTGGCCTGGGAAGGCAGCACAGGATGGTCCAAATCCTGGGCCCTTGGCACCCACGTTGGAGACCTGGAAGAAACTCCTGGCTCTTGGCTTTGGCCTGGCCCAGCCCTCCTGGCCGTTGTGGCCATTTGGGGAGTGAACCAGTGGATGGAAGATCGAGCTCTTTCTCTGTAACTCTGCATTTCAAATAAATGAATAAATCTTAAAAAAAAAAAAGAGAGAGAGAGACTTTGAAGCAGTGTAAGCAATTTTAGTTTCAAATCCAGCTGGGGGGTGGGTTTTTTGGCACAGTGGGCTAAGCCACCACTTGGGACATCCACATCTCCTATTGCAGTGCCTGGGATTGAGTCCCACGTCTGCTTCTGATCCAGCTTCCTGCTAATGCACCTGGGAGGTGGCAGCTGGTAGCTCAAGTTCTTGGCTTCCTGCCACCCACATGAGGATACAAGTTTGATTCCTGGTTCCTTGTTGTGTCTGGCCCCAGCTATTGCAGGTAGTTGGATAGTGAAGCAGTGGATGCAGAAAAATCCCCCCTCCTCCATCCACTCTTTCAAATAAGTAAATAAATCGTTGAAGAAATCCAGCTAGGTCACGTACTAACTGATATTGGGTAAATCAGTTAGCAACACAGGGCTCCTGTTTCTTCCTGTGCTACAAAGACAGTTTTACTATCTAGCTTTGTGAGGGATCTAAGTGGAAATGTTCATGCATATGTGTAAATGCTAGTTCTGTTTGAATTCAGGTCTACTTTAAAAACTATCACTCATGAATAATATTCCACTAATGTAAAGATGTGTCCCATTTTCCTCACTTTGTACCCTGACTTGGTCAGAACTTTTAAATCATTTAATGGGCAAACCCAGGATACAGTCTTACACTGGGTGCCATCGAAGATTTGAAGTTTTAAAAAGCTTAAGGTTTTAAGCATGGTCCCTGGTCAAGCAGGGACCGTGGCTAATTCCTTGTGATATTTCTTAGTTCTTGGTGGGCACTTTATAAGTATTTGTCTGCCTTCACTGTCTTTGTGTCTGCTTAGGAAGATCAGAAATAAATACAGCCAGCTCTGTGTAACTGTGGGCCTCACATCGCAGAATCACATAACCACAGATCAAATATATCTGTTAAGAAAAACAACCCAATTGCATCTGTAGGGAAATGTACAGACCTTTTTTGTTTGTTTGTTTTTCCCTACACAGTAGAGCCTAGCAGCTATGCACATAGAATTTACTTTGGATTAGGTATTATAAGTAATCTGGACATAAAACATACAAAATTATGTATGTGGGTTACATGCAAATACTACAGCATTTTATATAAAGCACTAGATCATCCACGGATTTTTAGAAGCTGTGGGGGGATCCTGGAGCCAATCCCCCACAAATACCAAAGAACAGCTCTGTATGGAAGGTTAAATAACAGCACAAGGGTCAGTTCCCAAGGAATAGTGCACTGGTTGTTACCAAAGGCAGCACATTGTGAATGGCGACATAAGTTCTTTAGGTTCATAGGGAAGTTCCATAGCTACAAACAAGAAGAGCATAGGCAGACCTCTCGAAAGAGGTAGGTTTCATGTTAAATCCCTCAGTGAGAAATGTGTATGGACTGCCTCTCTCTGCCAGGTGGCATTCCAGAGGATAAATCTAGGAGGAAGACCCCTGCCATTCCAAAGTCTGTAGTCTATTGGGAACATACAGTAAATAAAAAGAAGCACAAATGCAGAACTGCAGAGGGCAATGAGTTGTACAAATAAGCTTAGTCAAATTGAATTCAGATAGATGAGCCTGTTTGTTATTGCAGGTGACATTTTCTGCGTGGCGAGCAGGTAGTCAGGAGGAAAGAACTGAAAAACAGCAACCTCTTTCCTCCACTTGGAGCCCCTCTGGTTGCTTCACCAAGCACTAGGGGAAGTCATATGTCCTCATTTGCCCATAGTATTTGGATGTGCTGTAAACTTGAAAGGGAAACTTTTCAAGATACAGCAAGCTTAGATGGAAGCTACGATATATCTCTTGAAGTGTGACACCCTTAATTATGGGTCATGTTGATCATTTATGTTTAGTGATACAAAATTAGAGACTGCAAGAATGCCTAACAAAATGAGGTATCTACACATAGGACAGTTCTGAAGATTTAACACTATTCTGTGCACTGTTTTTTCAAGTCTTTGTTTTTTTACCGATCACCAAATTAAGTTGTCCTTGTGTCGGCTATTATCTGGTTTAAACGAGCGTCTATTGCAAACTTTCATTTCATGATTTAAAACTGGTCGCTTCTTCTTCCCCAGGGATGGAGCAGATATGCTCTTCCCTCCTGCTTCCACTAAGTACACCAGTACCCCAGACGCTGTATACACAATACACAGACGAACACTGAAAAGTGATGACAGGGAGGAGAGCAGCTAAGGTCCTGGAGATGAGAGGAACAACATGGTAGTAAGCTCGCTGGATTTTTTTGTTGCTGCCTATGTCTGAGACTGAGAAATTAAATCATTGGAATCACTAGTGGGCACAGATTTTGAAAAACAAACCAACAAAAATTTTTTTTAGCTGAACAAGGAGGAGAGAGGCCTTCTAGCAAGACAAAACTTTTAGACAGTCAACTCTACTCTAGCTAAATAGCAGAGAAAAATGCCACAGTCCTACCCTACCCACACCAGGAAAGGCCTAGTCAGAAGGCTAATCTTCTCCCCTGGATGAGACATCTCACAGAAGACCAAGTCAGGAGCCAGGATTTCATCACCAGCGGTTGCTACGGAGGCCAGTCTGTTCCCACAGTCTTAATGGAGACTAGGGGACCTGGAATTCCACCCTCACCCAGCAGTCAGAGTCATCTTCCCCTTCCTTTCAGCCGGAACTGCCATCTTCCAGGAATTCGCCAAGAAGACGAACACACAGGGAAAGAGGAGAGATACCCAATACGTGCTCTCAGGCCTCTTAGAAAGCTGGAGTTGTTCCTTTGACCACATACCCATGCATTTACAAGAAAGGTGACATTGTAAGACATCAAGGGAATGGGTACTGTTTACAAAGGAAGGCCCCATAAATGTCACCATGGCAACACTGGAAGAGTCTACCGTGTTACCCAGCATGCTGTTGGCATTATAAACAAACAAGTGAAGGGCAAGACTCTTGGCAAGAGAATAAGAATGCGTATTGAACATATTGAGCACTCTAAGAGCAGAGACAGCTTCCTGAAACACGTGAAGGAAAATGGTCAGAAAAAGAAAGAAGCCAAAGAGAAGCCAAAGACCTGGGTTGAACTTTAGTAGCGCCAGCCTGCTCCACCCAGAGAAGCCCACTTCATCAGAACCAATGGAAGGGAGCCTGAGCTGCTGGAATCCACTCCCTAGGAATTCATGGCATAACAAGTGCTAAAAAATAAATAAATAAAAGACCTCTGGACTGGAAAGGAAAGGAAAGGAAGGGAAAGGACAGGAAAGGAAAGGAAAGGGGGAAAAGGAAAAAGGGAAGGGAAAGGAAAGGGAAAAGGGAAAGGAAAGGAAAAGGAAAAGGAAAGGAAAGAGTCATTTACCTTCACCCCCTCCCCGCTGGCCAACTGGGACCGCATGGGAAGCCCGGACTTCTACATCCATCTGGGAGTAACTTGATTGGAACCCTTGGCTCTGCTATGACCCAAAACATAGACAGCTAAAAGAGACATCCAAGTAGGATCCAGAGTCTCACAACGTAATACAGGAGTGTCCAAGTTTACAACAAAAGCTGCTCATCACATGAAGGACCAGGAAGATCTCAAACTGAAAGAAAAAAAGACACTCCCCAGATGACAACACCGATAAGATAAAAATGTTTTGAATTGTCAGGCAGATATTTTAAAGCAGCCATGATAAAAGTGCTTCACCTGGCAATGTGGAACATCGTTACTGGAAAGAGAAAAAATAGAACACTGCGGCAAAGAGCTAGAAAGTTTCAGCAAAGAACTAGAAGACCGAAAGAAGACCCAGATGGAAATTCAGGACTGGAGAGTACGTTGTCCAAACTAAAAAGCCCGCGGATGGGTTCCGCAGCAGAATTAAGGTGACAAAGGAAAGAACTGGAATGAAACTGTAAGAAGGAAACAGATTGTCTAATATGAACAGGACTGTGAAACAGGGAGGAAGTAGCTGAACAGAGCCTCAGGGGCCTGTGGAAGTATAACAAGTGATCTGACATTATTGACGTGGGAGGCCCAGCAGAAAAGGGGAGAGGGAGCAGGGCCAAAGAAGTACTTGGGGAGGGAGGGAATGGGTGGGGTTGTGAAACAGCAATAGGAGGGATCCTGTGACGGGAACATTGTGTATCTTTTTTTAAGAGATTTATTTATTTATAATGAAAGGCAGAGAGAGAGACTGATCTTTCATCTGCTGTTTCACTCCCCACATGGCTGCAGCAGCCAGGGCTAAGCCAGAAGCCAAGAATCCCATCCTGGTCTCCCACATGGTTGGCAGGGGTTCAAGTACATGGGCCAACTTCCACTACCTTCTAGTGATCAAGAAGCTGATTCAAAAGAGCATCCAGAAATTGAAGGAGCCGAATGGGATGCCGGTGTTGCCAGCAGTGGCTTAACCCACTGTGCCACAGTGCCACAGTGCCACAGCACCACCCCTGAAACATCGCTTATCTTGACGGTCAATGTCAATATCTCCATTATTCTGAAAATTGTTACCATTGGAGAAAACTAGGCCAAGGGTCCATGGGATCTGTTATTTCTTAGATATACACATGAATCTAGAAGGATTTCAAAGCTAAAAGTGCAAGTATTTTTAAAGATCACATATTGATTTCTCAACTAAAACAGACCATGAGACAAGCATCTCTTAATTCCTCTTCTATCCCATGCAGGCTATCCCAGACCCATCAGGTTTGGTTTTGCATTTTAATTTTCATAACCAAGGCTGAGGAAACGTTGGCTGCAAGAAGTAATTTCATTATTTCTTTCATTATACTGATGGAAAAATCTATTTTTTAAAAATGATTTATTTATTTGCAAGGCAGAACATCAGAGAAAGAGGGAGAGACAGATCTTCTATCTGCTGGTTCACTCCTCAAATGGCTGCAAAAGCCAGGAGCCAGCAGCTGCATCCAGGACTTGGGCCCTCTCCAGTTGCCTTCCCAGACACTGGATCCAAGGTGGAGCAGTCAGGACTTGGGACTCAAACCTGCACTCTGATACAGGATACCAGCATCACAAGCGGTGCCTTAACCTGCTGTGCCACACCACCAACCCCTAATTAAAATTTTTAGATGCAACTGAAATTGTCTTTATGTAGAGGGATTTTGGATGCTGTTTGAAAAGACTTAAATAGCGTCAGTGTTTTCCAGGCATTCTTACCCTTATCTCGCGTGATGAAATTATCGTCTCTGGTCCTATGTACCTGGCGCTGTATTTTTGCCTCGGCTGCCTCCCTGTGGATAGCAGCTGACTTCCTTCTGATCTCCTCCACAGAGCATTGAGATGCGACTGAAGGTGAGTCTCCACGAAGACCTGGGGGCTGCGCTCATGGATGGTGTCGTGCTCTGCCATCTGGTCAACCACATTCGCCCGCGGTCCGTAGCAAGCATCCATGTCCCCTCACCAGCAGTTGTAAGTAACACCGCTTAAAGAGACACTCTCTGTTTGCACAATATTGTTGGTTAAGGATGCCAAAGTGATCTGTAGGATGCTACTTAGATCCTTTCTGTTGGACCCCAAATAGTAGAAAAAGAGAAATGGAACAACAGTATGGGTCTGAAGCACATTTTCACTGTAGAAAGGGAGAATATTTAAAAAAATCATACGTGAGTAACAGAACAATACTATCTCACATGTCAAATTTAAAGAAACTCCTGATTGAGATGCTGACTTTAATACTTTGGGAACATACCAGTTCCTTTCTTTCATGCAGTTCAACAGTGAGAAGTCTTGGCAGAAAGCTTTTGATAGTTGGTAGCTTCCCTTCTGCTTGGAGTCTCTCTCTCCTTGATTCATCATTGGGGGTTTTAGGATAGCTCTGAAAAGGTGCAGAGTCCATGGGAAATACCATGAGATAACCTGTGAGGCCAGAGGTGGGTTGGCCAGTGGTGAGTTCAACAATTCTTCCATCAGTCGCTGAGCTCTGACATGCTGGGAGAGGGCAGGGGAAGACTCCATTATTGCCCCCCCCCCCCACATCCTCATCTCCCTGGTCGGGGAGATCCAGGTTGCCTGGGAGATCCTCATCCCGGATGACACAGAGCGTGTTAGGAGCCAGATGTGTGCCACCGTCATCAGTTGTTCAGCTGACAGTGGAGGGGTCAGACCGCAGCTTGTCTCTGGAGCCTCCGTGGGGCCTTGATGAAGGCAGGAGGATTTCCGCTCCCCATGGTTGCTATTGGTTTAGAGAGGCAGAGTTGAGGTGCTAAGGATGTATGGTTTGGATTAAAATTCCAGGTCCACTTCTGAAAGCCGTATGATTTGGGGGTGAGTTGTTCATCCTCTGTTTAATGTGATTTGCTCTTCTCTATCATGGAAATGTTTTTGTGAGGATGCGATGAGGTGCTACATGATACACACTCAGATGTAAGCCTCTGTTGTGATCATTTATATATATGTTATGTGTGTGTGTATTATATATGAGATTGTTAAAATTCAGAAGCCCCAATGCTAAGGCACGTGTTCCTAATGTACTGTGTCATCACTGTGCTGGGTGACAGCTCTGGTGAAACCCTCTTGCAGGGGCCCCTCCTCCAGGAAGGCTGTACCATGCAATTACTTGTCCTACTTTTTCTCTTTTCTCTTGACAGCAGGAGAAATTAGCTGATGATACCATTTCAATTGTCTGTTTCCTTTCTGTAATATTCAGCATAGTTTCCTTCCAAACATTCACACACACACACACACACACACACCCTTCTTGTTTTCCCTTAGAGCGTGGTGGGAGGAGCAACCTCTTTGTCTTCTGTTCTAAATCTGTCCCTGGCAGCCCCAATGCAGGACAGTGCTTCTGTCCCGGGGTCCCGTAGGAAACTTCCCAGTGTCCTCCCCAAATGCAGATCAAGCTGCTATGAAGTTTTCTGAGCTGCATGGCAGCTTTTCAGTTAATAATTTGTCTTGAATTAAAGATGAGATGCTGTAGACTCCTTGACCTCCAACTTGAGTGTGCTGTCATCATTTTATAAGATGTAAGAGGACACTGCCAACTGTGTGTCTATATTTCTTTGTATGCAGGTGTACTTGAACAAGTTCGTGGAAAAATGGAAGTAAAACTTTATTTTGGAGCAAAAAAATTTTGGAACACTGCACAGTCTTCATAATATGTATTTCCATGAATTTTTGAAGTACCCTTGTACTATATTAATTCTTTAGGAAAAAGGTTAGGGTCTTTTAGAAATGTTTTGGTTTTACCGTTTTTCCTTTTTTTAGTAAAATTTTTTAAACTAAAAAAAAGGCAAATAATGCCTGATTGTGGAAAAGGAGAAAATAGAAGTAAGCAGAATAAAAATAACTCATGATTTATCCAAAGTCAACCACTGTTAACACTTGTCATCTTTACTACTAACGTTTTTGAACATTTGAGTTATTTTAATTGTTTCTCACATATATTATTTAGTTTTACACCTTGCTATCAAAACTTAAATTTCCCAATGTCATTGAAAATCTTTGAAATATTCATTTTAATAACTTAGACACATTTCACCTACGTTTTGTACTAAAGTAACGGATGGGCCAGCATTGTGGTGTAGCAGGTTAACCCTCCTCTGTGACACCCGCATCCCATATGGGCACCAGTTCCAGTTCCATCTGCTCCACTTCCAATCCAGTTCTCTGCTAATGTGCCTGGGAAAGCAGTGGAAGATGGTCCAAGTGCTTGGGCCTCTGCACCCACGTGGGAGATCCAAATAAAGCTCCTGGCTCCTGGCTTCAGCCTGGCCCAGCCCTTGCCGTTTTGGCCATCTGGGGAGTGAACCAGTAGAGGGAAGATCTCTCTGTGTCTGTCCTTCTCTTTCTGTAACTCTGTTTTTCAAATAAATAAATAAATAAAAATCTTTAAAAAATAAGCAAATAAAAATAGAATAGCGTGTAACACATGTTAGAGTATAACAATATGTGTAGGAACTATCGTTAGAAATGCGGTTTGCAAGGCAGCCAAGTAGTGATTGCGACACCACTGGAGATGCCTGGGCTTCAGTCACAGCTCTGCTCCTGATTCCGGCTTCCACGCCATGGAGGCAGCAGGTGATGGCTCAAGTTGTCAGGTCCCTGCCATCCACATGGAAGACCCAGATTGAGGTCCCAGCCCCTCGCTTTGGCCTGGCCCAGCCATGGCTGCCATGGCTGTTGCGGGTGCTTGGGGAGTGAACCAGCAGATGGGAGATTTCTGTCTCTCTCTCTCTCAATAGAAAAAAAAAAAAAACTAAAAATATGCAGCTATATTATTAACAAATTAAACATTCTTCATTGAGCTCCTTGAATCCGTTTTTGACCACGCCCATCCCCCCTGTGGCCCTAGAACCTGCTGCCATCCATCTGCATTGCTCTCCATTCCCGGCATGCCACAGGGGGCTGCCTGCCCTGAAAGCTGCTCCCTCCCCAGTCTCCTCAGCCCTTCAGGGTCTTCTCTCCCAGCTCTCCTCCATCACAGCATTTAGAGGAGGCAAACCACTCCTGGCCCTTGAGAGCTGAGCTTCCTTGTTACTCTTTGTCCCCTCATAGCAACCCCATCACAACTAGGAACCCTCCTGTGTCATGGTTTCCTTTAGTTTGCTAATACTTGCGGTACACTAGAGCTAAGTGACTATGAGTGGGCTCTAACCTTGAGGCCCACACACTGCCGGGATGGTGGGGCAATGGTGTTCCTTCAGCAAGAAGCAACAAGAGCACCAGAGACCTGAATGGCAATCACAGGGCCCTTTAACAGGGAGTGCGGGGGTGGGGAAAAATGCCTGGGACTGCCACCGGCTGCCAGCAGTCAGGTTGTGAGGTCCTTCCTGGGAGGTGTGGTGTGCCACGCCCTCTCAACCTCCTGCCTGGGCAGGGAGACACCCCCCCCACCCCCACCCCCACCCCCACCCCCACCCCCCGGCCAGGTACAGGATCACCCACAGCCATGAGTGCTTTGGGTTTCACAGTTCTATCTCTGATCATCAAGTATCTGGTATAGAGTCAGTAATAAATATGATTGGATCTGTTGTGTCTGCACCAGCAACAGTGGGGGAGACTGTCTTGTCTGCTGGTACTCTGGCAGGATTCAACATTCTCATCTTTTACTTATGAAACTAATGTTGTCCATTTTTATGCCAAACTGAGTGACCATAGTGTTGAACAGAATCACTATCATTCTCAATATGCTAAGATTCTACTCCTTAGAAAAATTAAATTTTTTAATGTTTAAGAATTTGATAAGCAAAAAACTTTGGCATCCTAATTAGTATGACTGGTGTAATGGTTGACTTTTTGTGTAACTTTGATGCTTTGGCCAATGATGAGGTTGAACCTTTAACTATTGTATGTGTTGCACATATTTCTCTATCTGAATCTAGCTTTCAATCTTAGAATCTAGAGTTCAGTCCCTTACTCCCAGAGGTACTGAATTATCTTTTGTAGCTTCAAACATATTTTTCCACTGGCTTCTTCCGGGCTGACCTAGGTATTTTGAATGATGTTGGACATCTTTGGAGTTTCAGAATAGACTCTTTTACATCCTACATAGGTGAAGAAAGAGAGTGGGCCTAGACCATCAAAGAGGCAAATGCTGGAGTCTTGGCGTGCTGAAATGCCTCTTGGTGTCCTGTCTGCCAGGGCCAGACCCCATTCTTCTGGTGCTCCATGTCACATGTCTTCTGTCTGGTCCTTCTGCTTGCACGAAGCCTAATGCAATGACATTGTCCTAAAACATACCAGGGAGGTAGGCAAAATCACCCAGGTAGCTGCTTGTCACATCTTTATAAGTTAGATTGAGGGGTACAACTTTGTGGCCAGCCACAGTGGAGAATACTTATTTAGCCTGAAAATAAAATCCTTCCACATGGGAATAGGCTTCTGTTTATTTATTTTTGAGGTAATGGGTAAGGGAGGAGTACTTGTGTTGTTGTTCTTTTTTTTTTAATAAATGCTGTGTAAAATCAGAATTTAATGATGAGATAGAGTACAAGCAAGTTCACTTTCACTCTTAACAGGCTATGGTCAGTCTTCATAAAACATGGCTCCTACATCTAGACTGTTGAGTTTACTCATGGTTCTTGCGTTCTTTTTCAAGGGAACTAAGATCAGAACAGTCAAATTTAGCAGGAAAATGTTTACAGCTCACAATGTAGAAATTACAGCATCTGAATTAAATGTACTTCTTATCCATCCTGCACCTTCAAGGTCATCTATAACCAAGGTTAACTCAGTTGTGAAAAAATTTTGGTTAAGTCCTGAACATATGTGTTTTTAGTGCATTTACCTTATGTTGCTTCTTTCTCATTAAATGCATGGCTTGAGTGGGAAAGAGATTAATTAACCTGGTGAATTAAAGTTCTCATTTAGAAATATACTTGTTGATGGGAAATGTGATATTTATGGTATATTTTAGGAACTAATTAAGTCATACAACAGTAATAATATTCTATAAAAACTATATCTGTATGTGTATATGTGGATGCATGTATATATACATATATATATTTGTAGAAAACCTTTCATACCAGTAAAATGTGTCATGTACATATATACACACACAGTAAAATACATATACACACATATACACAATGTCTAGAAGAATACAACCCAACGATTTTTATCTCTAGATGGGTAATTTTTAGTGTTCTTATTTGCTGTTGTATTATTTTCTGTCTCTGTGATAAACATGTTATTTGTGCCCCATATAAAGTTTAAGAATTTAACCTGTTATTAAAATTCTTTGTCTTTTCTAATTCACTATTTATGTATATTTGTATCCGTAGCCCAAACTCAGCATGGCCAAATGCAGAAGAAATGTGGAAAACTTTTTGGAAGCCTGCCGAAAATTAGGAGTCCCAGAGGTAACATCAAGCTTCATTCCAGTAACTGTGTTGTAGTGAAACGTTGACGTCATACATGTGTTTGAACTGTTGAATGGATATAAAGCATGCTTTTAAGTGTCAACCTCTCTTAAGAAATGCTAATGAATATGTTCATTTAAATTGCTCTATCAGTCAAATTAAAGTAACTCTGCAGAGTATAGTCCATTCTGAGAAAGAAAATATTCTCTTTAAGGTTTTAAAATAAATGAGAAATTCTAAACGTGAAAAAAAAATCAGCTTGATTTCCTATGCAGGGTAGAAATGATGGAGGGTGCAAGTAGGCCTTCTCACAGGTCCAGTAGGGTAGGATTGGGGAGGTGGAGGGTCTCCTGCCAAGCTCTTTGGTAAAGACCTGCAGTCATCTACTCATTGTAGATTTTCATCCCTATAGTTATATTTTTGGTGTGTGTATCAAAACAATCGACATTGAAAATATTAGTTACCACTATTATTTTCATCAATAATAGCGGTGTGTGTGTGTGTTGGTTTATAGTCTATTAACGATTTACATTGACATTTTCTGCATTAGTCTGCTGTAGGCTCAATTGGCAGTTCTCTACCTTTTCCCTGCCCAAGCCCAGGCCCCGCCTAAGCCTCAGGGACAGGGTTGATCCCTGTGCCTCAAAGACTTTGCCATTAGTAGTAGCATAAAAGTATTTCTGAGGTGGACAAGAGCCAATCCACTCGGAATTCACGGGTAGCTGTATAAGTTGAGAAGTGTATCATGTGTGTGATAAACAGAAAGGGATAGAAATTTTATTCTTGTGATCTTCTGTTTTCCTAATGTCCCAAAGATAAAGTAACTGAAATAACCAATCTTGAGATTCTTTTGAGTATGTGACAGAGTTACCCAATGGAAATGGACAAAGGAGCTTTTCCCCTCCCCTCTCTTTCCTCTTTTTCCTTATTCTGTCTTCCCTCTGTTTTTGTTTGGCAGGATTCAGCAGTCAGGAGCTAGTGACTGGTTTCTAATCGGATTTGAGAAAAAGGAGAGCATTATGAAAGAATGTGTAGGTTTGACCTGTCTCAGTGAAAGGAAGCTTACAAGAGTAGTTTTAAAAGACTGCCATTTTTACATGATGCCCTAAATGTCTTTGTGATCAGTTTTGCTTTCAAGAATGTTAATCTGTGTGTCTGTATTGTTTGTGTGCGTATACATTCTCGGCTTTCAATATATGTGAAATACTTAACAAACCTTTTCTAATGGTTTGGTTCTGTCATGGGCTGGTAAGATTTCCCATGTGTGAATCCAAACTCTCAGACCAGGATTCGTGATAAATTATTCGTGTCTGTGCTAGAAAGCACTGATGAGTTATGATCTCACCCTCTGAGATTTTTTTAAACTCATCAATGGTTTTTTTGGCTTACAACGAAACAAAATTAAGTAGAAATGCCCTTAAGCCATTTATTGTGAGTCAAGATTGATAATTATAATTTCCTTTTAAAGTGAGGAAAAGGTAAATTAAATTATCATAAAATGCAGAGCAAAGTCTAGCATAATTTCTGAATTATGCCCCAAGCACGGTGGCCCTAACACTAATATAGGCAACTCACAATTCCCAGGAAGGTTGGAATACAGGGAATGATCTTTGTCCCAGTTAATTATACTTAGAAGTATATAGCTTACAATATTTTTGAAATTGTTTTTAAGGTTTAAAAGTGATTCTCTGGATGCAGTGTGTGTGTGTGTGTGTGTGTGTACATATATATCCATATAATCCAATGGCACTTTACTGGTGATTAGAGTTACTTTAAGGTCATTGTTACTATAAAAGTCTGTTAGAAGTTGGACTTCCTTAGTAAGAATGTTAAAGGACGTGAGGCATATTCTAGTGGAATATCAGAAATTCCCAATTGGAAAGCAAGCGATCAGTCTTCCTGTGTAGTCAGACAGCACATTTTCCTTTCACAGAATGCATGAGAAAATGTTTTCCTCTAGGAATATAACACAGAGTTGTTGGGGAGTCACAAGTAAGGGGTCACAAGGCTTCCTCCCCCTTAGGTCTTTATACTTCTTTCACTTTGTGGGAGGGTTGATGTTTGAAGACAGTCTGGCACAATAAGACTGGCGCTTGATACTAAAAAGGTAATTGTATCACAAGACCCCTTGCAGAAATTCTCCATCTATAAGGAGGCATTTTGAAAGACAGATACCTAACAAAAATAGTTCTATAATGTTACATTTTCCTATTACAAGAAACTTAATATTTGGGTACCAAGATAGTTATTGATTTCTCATTAATCAGCATAGTCAATTCCCTCTTACTTGCAAGATTTTTCTATTTTCTTCACCATGAATATCATATCTACATGTGACTCAAGCTGAAGAGACCTTGAGTTCTACATTTTGTAAGCTAAGTATCTTACTGACGAGGATAAATCATCCTATACAGGCTGCAAAGTCAACAGCTGCACTCTCAGCTTGAGGTTTTGCCCTTCTTGATAGAATCAGAATTTGAGGCCGGCGCTGTGGCTCACTAGGCTAATCCTCCGCCTGTGGCGCCGGCACCCCAGGTTCTAGTCCCAGTCGGGGCACTGGATTCTGTCCCAATTGCTCCTCTTTCAGTCGAGCTCTCTGCTGTGGCCCAGGAGTGCAGTGGAGGATGGCCCAAGTGCTTGGTCCCTGCACCCCAAGGGAGACCAGAAGAAGTACCTGGCTCCTGGCTTTGGATCAGCGCGGTGCACCGGCCGTAGCAGCCATTTGGGGGGTGAATCAATAGAAGGAAGACCTTTCTCTCTGTCTCTCTCTCACTGTCTAACTCTGACAAAAAAAAAAAAGAATCACAATTTGAAACTACAAAGTCAGAGTCAGCACAATTGTGTAATTGTATCAGGTTCATATGAATGGAATACAGCAGGTGAGCAGATTTAGCTCTATTACTGCACATAGGATGTGATGAAGGCAATTTTAAAACTGATTGTTATGGTTTATTATATTTTCTTTAGACGTCTTCCTGAATGCAACCTTAGGGTTGATCATGGTTCATGAACATTTATGTGTGCTTCCAAAGCTGGACCCGTGGCACCGGCTTGTCATTTGTTTGGTGGTCAAGAAATGTGTGTGTGCAGGATGTGGCAGGGCCTCACCTCCAGTCACTGAATCAATAGTAGCGGTTAGAGGGCGAGCCTGCCTCAGCGCAGAAGATGGTTCTGGTGTCGCTGGTGTATACATGGGGCTTCATCAGACTGGCTCCACTCAGAATCGCAGGACGGGTGAGGCGCTGTCCTGTGTCCCTTGTGGTGTTGAGGCTGGTTGGTCGGATTCTGCTGCTGTTTTGACCTCTCTGTCAACGTGTCTTGAAGACAGGCCTGGGTGGGATTCCAGACCTTCCAGGACGTAGTCTTTGTACCACACAAGAATCCGGCTCTAGTAAGCCTTGGGCTCATAAGGCTATGTATTGGTATATTGAGGTGTCTTTTGCCATTTCTGAGTCAATCTGGCCATTCCTGGCCTCCAGCCTCCAGATAGAAGATTTGGAGTTGGCTGTTGAGGGTTTCCAAATCCATCCAAATTTAGAAGCATTTTAGGGCTCTCAGCATCCTCTCAGGTCAAGAGAAATCTCCAATTTGTGAAGCATGTAAAGTATTTTTTAAATGGGTATTAATTTGGTTCACCAGGGAATTTTTCCTACTCAGTCTTAGATATGAAGCCTTGGGTCAGACTGATGTGATGTAGCAGACTCGCCTTCTCTAGGTGGGCAGGGGACTTCGAATGGAAATGCACTTTGTTACTTGACTGCCCAGCCTTGGTCTCCATCACTGTCTCCAGAGAGAAGATGGGGAAGAGGATTCAGTGGTACTGTGGAGCCCTTGACAGCCGTGGCCTCTTCCTGCCAGTCTGGGGCTCCTAGGCATCCCGTCAAGTCTGTAGGCCGCAGAAGGTTCTCATTACGTGTCCATGTGGACAGGTCGCTCTGTTCCTCAGCTCCTGCACCGGTGGAGTTACAGCTTTGTCTTCTTTTCAGTACCTTTCATAGTTGCATTTTTATAGTTCTACAAGAGGATTTTATATTTGAAAGTAATTTATTTATTTGAGAGGCAGAGAGAGACACAGAGTCGGCGCTTATTGGCTGGTTCAGTCCCCAGTTGTCTGCAGCAGTTGGGGTTTGGGCCACACAGAAGCTGGGAACTCAGTCCAGGTCACCCACGTGGGTGGGGCGCTGAGTTCCGTGAACCATCACCTGCTGCCTCCCAGGGTCCGAAATGTAGGAAACTGACATCAGGAGCAGGGCCAGGACTCAGACCCAAACACTCAGATGTGAGATGCAGGCGTCCTACCGGGGGTCTGACTCTGGGTCAAACTCTTGGACTTATTCCTGTTGTGAAGATTTAGGAACTTATTGATAGGTAAATGATTGAAATTTTGTTGTTGAAAGACAGTCTATAAATTGAAGCCACTTTTTTTTTGTTTTAATCTTGAGAATTGGAGAAAAGAGTTAGTTATCCTCTTTGAGCCCTAGGCCTCTTTTTCTCCCTCAAATCAATGAGTTTGGTATCAATTTAACTCATAACTCACACTTTGGGGAGAAAATGAGACTCCTATGCAAGATTAATTTTAATTTTCCTTCATTGTGGTTTATTCTAAGGTTGAGTAATCAGAGATGCCAACTGATGTGTTTGTTATTTTTATTATTAACGTTAATGTTTATACTCATAATTTATTGAGAGAGCTAATCTCTCACTTGTAAAATCAGTTCCTTCTTTTGTAGATAGCATGTGTTTAATGTCATGTAAATATCCCTTTCCAGGGTCATGCCCCTTGGTCACCTCTGCTCCATGGCCTGATGGCCTTTCATATGCACATGTTTGAGAATAAATCATTTTAGAAGCAGCACCATCAAAAAGTTGCAGCCATCTGAGGAGTGAACCAATAATAGAAGAGCGCTCACTCTCTCTCTCTCTGTCTTTCCCCCTCTCTGTGTAACTCTGCCTTTCAAATAAATAAATCTCCAAAAGTAAAGTGTTTAATTAAATATATT